AAACATTTATCTTCTGTTATTTTTTCTGTTTGAATTTAAGTGAAAACTAAATAATATATGTAATATTTTATTAAAAACTACACATTTATTTAATTAAATCATTACTTTAAAAAAGATTATTAGTATCCCCCCTAACGTTTTGTAATAATGGAACTGTCCATACTCAGTACCACGTGTTGTGAGTTCGTGGTGCCTTTTCCATGTGTGTTGTTCGTCTGAAAATAAATAGATGTATTGACGTTAAATACTGTACTTATAAAAATGCTGTTTGCTAAAGATGCACCATGGCGGCGCCTCGAAGGCATGTCCTTTGGAATATACTCCACAGATGAAATCAGGTAAGCAGTTTAACAGCGGTTTTAACTACTCAGGATATTACAAGTACAGTAACTTCAATACAAAAAATATTCTGCGCTCTTGGAATACAAAATCCTTCTCCCAGAATCACATTTAGCCAAAGTTAACTGTGCAGTATGTTGCTTTATACCTAGTCGGTCATATAAAAAAGTTGTATAACTTTTCTGATTGTAATTTAGGGACATTTACTGTATCTTACTATATTTAGGTTTTTATTAATTGGTTTACATTTTGCCATTACCTTAATTGAAGGGGGAAGATTTGAGCTCCAGCTCTGAACCTTTCCTTATTTATACCTTTGTATTTGTAATATTAGTTTGAACAATTTTAAAGAAACCTGGTACCCTAACTCCAGATGAGCCAAAGAACGTTTCTTTTTTCAGTAAAGGGCAATGTCTTGTTCATGACACGAGTAGTTTACTAGCAGTTTAACTAAATCATGTATTAACTAAATATTTAAAGACTCCAACTTTCAGATGTGTATGCAGTATTGTGTTTTAGGTATGGACTTACATTTATTTGAAATATCAGACATGCAACTTCCCAAAAGTCTTTTTACTTTTCAGGAACTGAAGGAATTAATGGAATTTGCAGCACAATGTAGCATGGGAACAGCTTAGCGTGTGACAAATTTGTATACTCTTATTATAAAGTTATTTTGTAATATTCTCCTGCTTACAAATCAGATGAACTCGGCTGTCCAGCTGGGATGTCCTGTCAGCTAACAAATACACTTGGAATCCTGAATAAAAGGTCTTCTTCTCTTCTTTCCTAGGAAGCTTAGTGTAAAGACAATCACTAATCCCCGTTTTCTGGATAATGTAGGGAACCCAGCGACCAATGGTTTGTATGACTTGGCATTGGGCCCTGCCGACTCTAAGGAAGTCTGCACCACCTGCATGCAAGACTTCAACAAATGTCCCGGCCACCTGGGTCATATAGAACTGCCTTTGCCTGTGTACAACCCAATGTTCTTCGATGTAAGTGCTCACTGAGCTTCCATTACCCTTGCAAATAATAAGGTTCCAAATGTCAGTGTTTAGGGTGGCGTGGTGGTGCAGGGGTTAGCATTGTTGCCTGGCAGCACTGGGGCCCTGGGCTCAAACCTGCATCTGGGATTCTGTCTGCATGGAGCCTGTGTGTTCTGATCACGTTTGCTTTGGTTTTCTTTGGGTACTCTGGTTTCTTCCCTCTGTCCACAGATATACTGGTAGGTAAGCTTCTGGGAAAATTGGCCCTGGTGTGAGTGTGTGTTTGTGTCTGTGTGTGCCCTGTGATCGACTGGCATCCCATCCAGGGTGTACCCTGACTTGCACCTCTCTTTTGCTGGGATAGGCTTCGGCTCCCTTGTGACCTTGAATTGGATGAAGCCGTTAGAAAATGAAGGGATGAATGTTAATGGTTAGTGACAAAACTCGCTAGTTGTTAGGAATGAGTGAGTGCCGTGTGCTTTTTGGCTGACCAGTTGTAGCCTGTAAATACCAAAGTTCCTTGTGTGACACAATTTAGACAATTAAATCAATAAGTTCTGAAATAAAAGCAACACAGGGTATTTTTCTTGAAAAGCACTTTGGTACAGTTATTTTAGTGGTAGAAGATCAATTAGGTAGCAGCGTCAGCATGCATAGGCTCAAAGGAACAAGTAAAGGTTTATTCCATGCTGAAAAGCGACACAACAGGAAATTACTGCCTGTTTTCCTCTCCCTCACACCTGAAGAAGGCTCCACAACCAAGATGTGTGGCTTTTCTTTTCAGCATGAAATCAATCTTTACTTGTTCCTATTTTAGTTGTAGCTTTGTTTAGGTTCCTCCTTCAGTAAAGCAAAGCAGATTTTGTCAGCACAGTTGCTTTATCTGTACCAGAGAGGTTTAAGACTGGATCTGCTTTATAAAAAGTGTTTAGATTATTGGGATCATGAATCAGTATTTCTCAGCTCCAAGAAGAAACATGAAGGAAACTCCATAAAGAATTCTGTATATGTGTAATGAGGTAAGGATAATAAGTTTAAACAGACGCCTGGGGACCATACTGTTTTGTCCTTTTTTTTTAGTGAAATAATTTAACCTTGTGTTTGTAAGTGGAAAGTGCTGGAGACTGTTGTGGTTTGACATCTTGTGAGGAGCTGTGTCTCGACCAGTTCCAGGTCTTGTATAGCATGTTTGCGTTAGAGTAGTGATAGTCACTCCTGGTCCCAGAGAATCTTGTCATATAATTATTTTAATTACCTCTGATCTGTGGATGACTGAAGTGATTTATTGATTCAGTTGTGTTATTATTAGTGTTTTATGCATCTTAAGCCATAGGTCATTTTAAGTTGCCTTTTCAACTTGTTGGACAATGGCCCTGCAGGATCAGAGAGCATTACTGGACAAGAAAGTGCTGTGGACTGATTTCCACTCTGTGCTCTTCTCAGAAACTGTACCTGCTGGTCCGAGGCTCCTGCCTGAGCTGTCACATGCTGACGTGTTCTCGTGCTGCTGTCCACCTGCTCCTCAACCAGCTGAGGGTGCTAGAGGCAGGCGCCCTTAATGCAGTGTACGACCTGGAGGCTGAGCTGAACAGGGTACGTGCTTTCCAGACTTCCATTCACAGACTTAGTCAGTTCTCAGTGCTACCAGCTGGAATTGGAACAGGAAGGAAGAAATGTGCCATACCATTTAGCATACAAATATTGAACCAGGTTAATATGGCTATTTTTATCAAACCACTTGAAATCCACAAACAGAGTTAAAAAAAATCGACATCACATTAACAAACCGGCTTTGCTCAATTCTTTACCGTTTTCATTTTTTGTCTCATCCACAATTCTCTTATTACAATATTTCTGAACTGAAGAGTTGTATTAGCCAGACACTCCAATTGGAAGTGGTTAATTGACATTTATAAATGTATAGAAATCAAATCCATCCTCTGGAGGGGGGATAAAACCATGAACTTGAGTTTGACGTGACGTTTGTTGCAGTACCTGGAGGGCAATGTGTCGGCCAGCGGTGTGGAGATACAGGAGGTGTTGGAGGACTATACTAAGAAAATCCTGAGGACTGCCATAGGCTACAGTTCCCCGGTGAGTCACACTGGCCCTTCCTGCTCACCAGCACAGCCTCACAGGGAAATACTGAGCCGTAAGATTCCTACTGCAGTCCCAATAAGGATGTAAACTAATGGTTTCTGAAGCTGTGGGAAGATATGTTCAAGGGGAAAAGGAGCAAGTGCCTGGAGTGACAGGACACAGTGTGGTTGTGTGGTTGTGCAACACACAACATCAGCTTGCCTGTACCACCCAGGGAGGCTTAGTTAAGAAGCCCTAAGGTCTGTGCCATTAGGGATGGAGGTCTGACTGGGACTAAGGAAGGAGAATTTGTAACATCTGGGTTTTACTCTCATAAGAACACACAATAATTGACATGGTTTGGAATTATGATTTAATTTTTTTCTGTTCATTGTAAAAATATTGATATTAAAAACAACAGATTTCTGTAAATAATGATGTCCATTCAGTAGGTAATGTTTAGATGGGAAATTTAATGTACTGGTCCTATTTTATCACAGGGGTATGGTGCATTTGAGATTGAACTTAGTGAAGCTTTTTTAAAACTGTTGAGAATTCTTCTTGTGAGAAATCTAAAGTTTTAGTTTTTATGGTCAGAAAACCAAATGACAACTTTTTCTTTGCCTTGTAAAGGTTTTAAAACAATCATAAAAACTTAATCTTAGATTTCACAAACTTTAATTCAGGTAGAACTCCTACATAAATAAACTGATCTGTATTTACATTTAGACAAAAGAGTTATGCTGTTCCTTTTCCAGGTAAAGAACGTTTGTGAAATTAAGAACAACCTTATCAGCAATTTCTGGAAACTTCACGTGAAATCTAGAAAATGTCCAAACTGCAAGTAAGTGTTATGAAAGCCCTGCCTAGAGGCCAACTCATATAATGCACTTGAGTCAAATTGCCTTTTGTCTAACTTTGTTCTTTTTGGTGCAAGTAAGTCCATTTTAAAGGTCACTTCACACTGGAATAAATTAAATCCACACAAGTGTTACATCCATTGTCACTTTCATTGTTTTCCTTTATACTGTAGTTGTATCATTGTCTTTCAGAACTGGATAAATTAAAGAGGCATTAGATTTATGTGTGTTGCAGCTTGCTTTACATTGTGGCAGCTCCATTGGCTTTCCAGTGAAACCTGACTAAACAGTATGCTGACAGTGTCTCTGTCCTCACTTGTCTTTGTCAATAACTACCTGCACAGTCATGAGCAGCTGGGTGTGTTCATATTAAACAGGGTCGATTCTTCATGGTCGCAGTTAGGTGATGCTGTTGTTAAAGAAGTTTTGCGTAACCTGAGCTTCGTCTTTGAGATTAATCGAGATTAATTGTTCTGCCCCATGTTTTTGAGAAAAGGGGAGTTATAAAGCTCCTTCTACTTCACACCTCTTTCAAATTTACAGCTAAGCCATTTTAGAAAGGCCAAAAGCAGGTTTCACCAAAATCGCCAACAAGATCATGGGTTCTAGCAAATCACCAGGGTGGCTATTGTGCAACAGATATTGTGCATTTGCAGCAAATGGTTTAATGCACTTTTCTAAGAGCTGATTTTTCTTTAAACGTCTTCCACAGAACTGGTCGATCAGTTGTCCGGAAGGAGCACAACAGCAAGCTTATAGTGACCTTGCCCTCATCTGTGCATAAAGCAAGCAAGACAGGTGAAGCAAATCAGAAAGAAACTGAAGGTAAGGTTGACATTTGGAAATGATTTTTTTTCTAGTTCCCTAAATAATTCTGTAGGCGTCACATATACATGTATTTATCAGATAGATTAGTAATTGTTTGCCTACTAGGGGATGATGGACAACATCTGTAGTGGCCAATGAAAGGGGATACTTTTTCACATGATTGAGGGTCATTGAGCTGTATTCTTGACAAAGTTCTCAATTTCATGTTTAACATGGGAAAATGCATTTAAAAAATGAAAATAGGAGGCACTGTTTACACAAAGAATCTACTGAGCCATGTTGTAGAAACTTATACCCTGACTTATTTCAAGAAATGGCATTTGTAAGCTTTTGTATGTTCTTAGTAACTTGAAGAAAAGTACTGCAGTATTTAAATTAGCAGGTGCAACCCAGTCCTCTCAAGTCCTCTAATTTTGTTTAGCTTACAGTTTCCCACAAGGTAAGTTGTGTACACATGTGTACATTGCCAAGTTCAGAACCTACTTATGATATGGCCAACAGCCATATCACTCTGCAACTCACAACTGGCAACCCACTGAAGCTAAGCAGGTGTGAGCCTGGTCAGTACCTGGATAGGAGACCTCCTGGGAAAAACTGAGGTTGCTGCTCGAAGAGATGTTCATTGGGCCAGCAGGGGACGCTCACCCTGTGGTCTACGTGTGTCATAATGCCCCAGTATAGTGACTGGGACACTATACTGTAAAAAGGCGCTGTCCTTCGGATGGGACGTAAAATTGAGGTCCTGACTCTCTGTGGTCATTAAAAATCCCAGGGTGTATCTTGAAAAGAATAGGGGTGTAATCCTGGCATCCTGGACAAATTTCCCATTGGCCCTTACAATCATGGCCTCCTAATAATCCCCATCTATGAATTGACTTCATTACTCTGCTCTCCTCCCCACTGATAGCTGATGTGCGGTGAGCGTTCTGGCACACTATTGCTGCTGTGGCATCATCCAGGTGGATGCTGCACATTGGTGGTAGTGGAGGAGAGTCCCCATTACCTGTAAAGCGCTTTGAGTGGAGTGTCCAGAAAAGCGCTATATAAGTCTAAGCAATTATTATCAGTTATTCTCTTTCTTCAAATACTGTATTAGTGTTTTGGAGTTCATTTTACTGACACCTATGTTTCAAATGTTCTTACAGGTGATTTTGAAAACAACATTTTGTTAGTATAAGCTTCTAAAATATGTATCTCTGCTGCTTGTAGTAATTAATGAAGCCCAACTGGGGAAGCGTGGATATCTGACGCCCAGCACCACCAAAGAACATGTCCTGCGACTTTGGGAAAATGAAGGTAAGACTGAATTCTTAGAAACAGACACAGAAGTAATAAGACAGTTTTAAGCGGTAGTAGTTTTTCTGTAGCATTGGGCTTAAGAATAAAATGGTAGGAGACAATATTCCTTTTTTTAATGTTCTATTGTCAAATTTAGAATCTAGAAACTAGACTTTGTGTTTTGTTTTTAGGAGAGTTTCTGTCAAGGTAGTGTGGCTATTTAAAAAAAAACCTTTCAAGATCTGTGTTTTATGGCAATAAGTGGTTTAGGGGGGATTCTGACTTAAAGACATTTATTCATAATTGCACAGATGGTAGCTTCGCACCATTGGTAGTTTCCTAGATCTCACACACCTGAAGAAGGCTCCACGGCCGAAACGTTGTGTTCTCTTTCTTCTTTTTTTCAGCATGGAATAAACCTATTACTTGTTCCTTTGCAGCCTACGCATGCTGACGCAGCTACCCACCTAACATATAACAAATATTTCTTTCAGTACTGAATCTCTTTTGTTTTTCAGGGTTTTTCCTGAAGTACCTGTTTTCAGGTTTGGAGGTCTATGAGAACTCCAAGAGCTGTTTCAACCCAGATGTGTTCTTTCTGGAAAATCTGGTTGTCCCTCCGTCCAGGTTAGGCTTTCTATACCAGTGATTGTCTTTTATTTTACACAGTTGGCCTCTTCAGACAGTCAGTGTGAAGTTAAGTGCCAGGATGGATATGGTTGGGGTCTTAAAAAAAAATTACCTTTGTAGTTATGATCTCTTCTCTCTTTTTCTTCTCACCAATCACAACACTTCAACTAATGATGTGACAGGTCTACTTTACTCTACTTTGAATGCCTCCTGTTCAACACAGAAACAGACACAGAAGTGTCTGTTTGGTAAAATAAATCTATGTAAAATATTATAATCTATTGTGTAATAATAGCTTCCTTACAACACATGAATGCCACATTCATGATGTGGCTACCATACTCTCCAGGCCTAAGCCCTACTGATCCTCTTTGGGATGACCCGGGATGATGTTTGGCATCTAGGACTTGGAGACAAGTGGCTTAATTAGCTGTTCTGTCAATATGGTGTACTTGTATGCCGTACCCAACTGCACTAGTTATGTTTCATGTCAGGTTTAGTGGGAAATTGTATGTTTGTGTATTTCTTGTCGTGGTCTGGCTAAATGACTGCTCTTCTGTCCAAGCATTGTACTCGTCTTGTTCAACCTCAATCTCTTTACTTCTGTTTATCTGCAGTAAGTCAACATAAGTATTCCTGGTGAGAGTCGAAATCTTTTTACATTTTATTTTTCCAATAAGGAAAAAACACACAAAAATCCTGACAGCGAGACTATGGTGTGCCTTTATTGACCAATCAGTGTGGGCCAGATGTGTCATGCAGGCTGCCTGTGATGATCCACTGGATGAATAGTGACGTGGTGTTGACTTGAAGATTTGGGGTCATAACATAAGATAGAAATTCAGAATCACAAAGGGTTTTAAAAATGTATCTTTGTGTATTGAAGGATGAATTTTGTCACAGTGCCTCCCAGTTCTGTTCTGGGTTAATTATGTGTTTTATCTTTTAGCCCAGCAACGTACTGGCAGGTTCATTGTTTTTTTTGGGGGAAATTGGACATTCTGCCTTGTGCCCGTTACTTGCTGGGACAGGCACTGGGTTCCCCCTACACCCTGTATTGGATAAAGCTGTTAGAAGATGGATGGATGGATAGATTGAAATCATTATCCAAGAAAAGTTGATAATGTAGTTCTACTTTAAATTAAAAATAGGCTGTATAGCATACATTACATTTTTTTAATCAGTTTGCAAGGACTGAATTATCAGTAAAGGCCTTTTATTTTAGTTTGTCTTAAATTGATTTTTTGAGTAGATGGCCCAAAAGAGTTAACCAGAGATTTGCCTGTCAGTCATCAGTGCAGGAGCTTTGTGATGGGTCCTTCAGCTGTTAAGCTATCTTGCCACTACATGTCGCTGTTCCCCCAGGTATCGCCCCATCAACCGTCTGGGGGATCAGATGTTCACAAACGGGCAGACGGTGAACCTGCAGGCAGTGATGAAGGACAACACGGTGATCCGGAAGCTGCTGGCCCTGATGGCACAGGAGAAGGAGAAGGCACTTGAGCACCCAGAGACTGAGACAGCAGAGGTGAGTGTAGTACCAGTCTGCGTGGGGCCTGGCCAGTACAGGGCTGGGAAGCTTCCAAGAAAAGATAAGTTGCTTTAAATGGTGTTGGTGAACAAGTAGGTGGCACTCTTCTCTTTGGAGCAGACTCTCCAGTATGGTGACTGGGGACTTTTCCACATTTCTACCTGACCTGGATGAAGTGGGGCTGCTGGTACAAAATGGCTGCCATTCATCACACGGATAGCTGGTGCTGCACCTGAGCTAAACCTGGTCCCAAGCACTTTGGGAACCTTTGGAATGACAATTGACATGTAAAAGTAGTTGAATGATTCGTAATATTAAATTTGATTTTGCCAGTGTAAGTACAAGGCAAGCCCTCTAGCCAGTGCAGCAAAAGCTTATCTTTGTCTTAAAATGCTGGGCTATATAGATGTGAAAAGACAGTTGCGTGTCCTGAAGAACCCTGAATGTAATGGTCCTCCATTGGTGGGTAATATCCATGGCCAACCCATGGCAGCTCATTGGACCTGAGCTTATCCTAGTATCCGTAGTGTTAGGCAAACAGGACAGCATCAAGACCCCTCACCCCTGAACAGGATGTTGGCCCATTGCAGGATTTACTTCCCAGCAATGCTGGTCCCTTTTTATACAGCCATAAACTAGACTTGACTAGAACAGCTGTACCCCAAGGTATAACAGCAGTGTTGGCATCAGGAAAATGAACTCGCAACCCTGCAGTCATGAGATCAGAGACTTACCCACTACCATACACTGCCCCATTAAAATACTAAAATAACTTAAGTAGCCTGGTTCAAATGCAAATGAACAATGTAAATAATCAGTTTTTTCTTAAGCTTCTAATATTTGGACTGGCATCATAGAAGATAGTGGTATAATTTAATAACAATGTACAAATGAAAAAAAAACTACTGTGAGAAAATAATAATGCAAATGCTCAGAAATAGTGCCTGATGCACAGGATAAAAAGAATGGATAGAATTCCCAGATGAATTAGTCACCAGAATAAGATGAGCTAGTATTGCCTCTTGTTTGTAACCTTTCTGAGGTTTTTATAAAATTCTTAGTGTCTTCCCTAGGGGGAGTAATATATAGAAATATTTTATGTATATTGAATTTTCATTTCTGCACTTTCTCTGTCATGTTTTGTCCGGCTGTCTCCATACCTACACTCACATATTCTGGTTTTCTGTCACTGTAGGCGCTGGAGGTGGAATCCAATCAAACTGATAGGGCCTTCCTAAGCAGTATCCCAGGACAGACGCTCACAGATAAGCTGTACAATGTCTGGATCCATCTGCAGAGCCATGTCAACATTGTGTTTGACAGTGATATGGACAAGCTCATGGGTGATAAATTCCCAGGAATTCGGCAGGTGGGTGTTGGTTTCATGACCTGTTGCGTTTTCAGTGATTTTGAAAGAAACTGTCCTGTTAACACAACTTGCCTAGAACCTCGGGTTGCATTGTTTTCTGCCTACAAAATGTCAGGCGGGGAAGAGAGTGGTATGACTGTGTTTTTATAAGATACACATCAACCTCCTGGGTCTTCTTTTCCCCATCTTACATGAAACGTTTTGCTGTTTAAAACATTTTGCATTGATTGTGATAAGCTTAGATGAGAAAGGTGCCCAGCAGACATGCCGGTTTTCTTCCTCAGATGCTGGAGAAGAAAGAGGGTCTCTTCCGGAAACACATGATGGGGAAGCGTGTGGACTACGCAGCTCGTTCTGTCATTTGTCCAGACATGTACATTGGCACAAATGAAATTGGAATACCCATGGTAAGCATGTTCAGCCATCCCTGTGCCTGTGTGAGTCCCATCAAGGTGCCAGTTAAACCATCATCCATCCACCCGTTTTCTAACCTGCTTTATCCAGTAAAGAGTCATGAAGGAGCCGGAGGCTATCCTGGCAAGCAAAACACACTTGGAAAACAAAACACAAACATGCACGCACACACACCAGGGCCAGTTTTCTTAGAAGCCAGTTAGGCTACCAGTATGTCTTTGGGATGGGAGAAAACCAGAGCACCCCTGAGAAAACCTGCACAGTTAAAACACAACGCTGTGACATTATTCTTTAAAGATATGAACGCAAAAACATAAGACTCAAATCACAAAGTCAGTTGAAGGAATGCTGCAGTAATTCTAGTTATGATTACATTACAAATGAAAAGTATCAGATAAGTGTGAACATGAATATGGTTACACTACACATACATTATGCAAAATGTTTCTGAATTCAAAAAGGACCTTAACAGTTTTTTTAAAACAAAACTTCAGAACAGTTTGTTATAGTAGTTACAGTTGTCCTTTACACAGCTGTATATCTTGGCAGGGGGGTGATTTTTGTTTTAAACTATATACCATGTATTAAGTGGTAAAACATTTGTTTAGCTTTTAAATTTCAAGTGTTTTTGCCCCTTTTTGAAACGCCAAAGCCGTGTTAAAAGTGCCGGGGCCAGAAATGGTGTCAAATGTACCACCAGGTGTTTGCTACCAAACTGACGTACCCACAGCCGGTCACGCCCTGGAACGTGAAGGAGCTGCGGCAGGCGGTCATCAACGGGCCCGACGTGCACCCTGGCGCCTCCATGGTGATCAGTGAGGACGGCTCCCGCACGGTCCTCAGCTCCACCAACCGCACGCAGAGAGAGGCCATCGCCAAGCAGCTGCTCACGCCCTGCACCGGCCCGCAGAGGATGTCTATGAAAATTGTAAGTCCTGCCCTGTCGCTCCCTTCAGGAGACCAGGAGGGACCGAGGGTTTATTTGGACTTTTTCCTAGCATTACGAGTGATCGCTAGTTCCAGAAAGGTCTGTGCTCAGTAAGAGGGGTCCTTTCAGACTTGCTTTAACAAAAATTAGTTGAAACGTTGTTTGCTGTTTTTATGGAACTTGAAAAAACGGACAGAGGTGAATACCTGAGTGCGGACTCGTCCTGACTTAGTTATTCCTCGTGAGTCAAAGGCACCCACAGATCTGTGTGCAGCACACGCTGTGTGTACCTTTGGTTTGGCATATTTCAGTGATCTTGTGCACAAACTGATATTTTAAACAGTTCTTAAAGAATTATATGGATTTTGGATGTTGAATATCTTTAATTTCACTTCAAATTAACTGATCATTTACTGATCATGTCCATTTATGAATTTTGATTGGGTTCACATTAACCTGCTGAATGTGAATCCTGGTCAAAATAGAGAAATACATTAAAGGGAACCAGTGTGCCCCAACACCACACAACATCTCTGTGACACATTTGTATTTTGGAGGCTGGACTGAGCCAGCACACGGAACCTTCACTGCCTGGGGTTTTCACAGGCAGCAATTTGTAATCTTGCAAGATATTACAGCTAAACACCATCCAATTAATAGGTCATAGTCTGGAACATCATCAACAAAAAAGGATTGATGGAGATATCAAAGTGTGATGGCCTGGCCAGGAATGTGTAGTCATTTCAAAATTGCTCTTGCACCGATTAAAGGCAGTGCTGCATCGATCATAATAATTTAAGAAACTTTATAAATGAGACAGTCTGTTTGGAACCTCTAGTCTCTTGTGATTTCCTTAACTATTTGGCTAAGGATTATCTTCAGCCGCTTTCAATTGAAAGAAACTTCATCAAGGGGCTAACAGCTTTACCGTATGAGATAGCAGAGTGGTAAACTGTGGGGCTAGTAGGATAGTTGGCATCCAACCTTGTTTCTGAATGTGTTGAGGTCCACCAGATTGGCCAGAGAAGTGAGGTTGGAAGAAATGGCTGTCTGAGTGTCTGAGTCTGTCGATCCTGGCTTCAGTTGTTATCAGGGATTAGTGAACGACAGTGTTTATGAAGGAAGTTTAGCATAATTCTAAATTGAATATGAATGGACAGGTCAGGTTTTGTAAATCACATTTGTTATTAAAATGTTGTCACACTAAAAGCATCTTTCATTAGTGTTTGAAACATTCTTCACAAAGAACATTAAAAGCACAGAATAGCCCAAATGTATTCATTTTCTGCTATGGCAGGGTAATTAAGGGTATAACGTGAGTTATTACTTGGGGCTTCCCTAGTTAACCCACAAGTGTACTTGACTGAACTAAATCTGATGGTAGTGGTCAATACTATCTAAGTCAACATTCCAAGCAATTTTAATTATTTATCATTGGTCTATTCTCTTTATTGAAGATTCTGAGACCCAAGGCTAGTTTTCATTTTGTACTATATTTCAGGACACATTAATGAAACCTTTCCATATTGCATCTGTTTGTTTAGGGTGTGGTATTTTAGTGCAAATTACACACTGGAAAAAAAATGATGCTCTACCTGGGATTGCTGGCTGTGCAATATCGTTGTGGTACTTGAAGATATTTAATTGAAATAAATGCAGAATTTAATGCAAGTGATTTTAAGTACCTTTTCCTAATATGTGCATCTTTATAGCGTATCTACCCTTTTGTTGTCTGTATCATTTATTAACTATGAATCTTAGCTCCTTCCTTGATTACAGCTGTAGTGCAAAATTATTTATGGATGTTTTCTCTTGTAAGACAGTATTTTTGGTGTCACGGTAGAATTGCTGATGCTCTAGGTATACGCAGTTTAATGATATCCTGTAATGGAGCAGCTGTGTCTTTCAGCCATCTGTTGCTTTGAGCCAATGTTGCGCAGCTTAGAGACCAGACAGAAATAAGTCCAGGCATTTTGCAGTGAGAGAAAGATCTCCTGAGGTCCATTTAATTGAGACTTCTATGTTGAAAGGTTATGAGCACTGTAGAAGTTGTCTATTCAGCTAGACATGGCGTAAGGCTAGTGTCAGTATTGCAGTAAGGGGAAAAGGTTAGAAGCAGGCACCCCTGTAGGTTATAAGGGAAAAGCAGGCATGCTTTCCCTTATGGTTAAGACTTGAAAGTAAAAAAGATTTTGAGTTCCATTACAGTTTGGTTTACAGGGGAATCTGATGGGGCAAAACAGGCTTTGGACGAAGTCAGGGTGGAGTGGGTATTTTCACCAGGGCCGGTCTGGTCTGGACAGTTTTCTCCTTGGAGACAGCTTTATTTAGGTTACAGAAAATAAGGTGCAGGGACCCTATAACTGGTGTTAATGTGTATTAGTCCCTCATTGCCATGCTACCAGTTGGAGGACCTGCCACATATCCTTACTTTAAAAACATTTAAAATATCAAAATAAGATAATCTGATATGGTTTTGGAGTTCCACAAGCACCTGTCCTTCACTGATGGGATTTGTCGATTTTGATAAAATCGCTTATAAAAAAAAGTTCACTACGAAGTTATTAAATCCCACTGAATCTGTCATTTGCAATTGGTTGGTGGGTAATAATTACTCTAACATGGCCCTTAATGCAGCTTGTACATTGAAATGAAAGTGAAAAAAAGTGTTTCTCTCTGGTAGGTCAACCGGCACATTAAGAACGGTGATGTCCTGCTGCTAAACCGACAGCCCACACTGCACAGGCCCTCCATCCAGGCTCACTGTGCCCGCATCCTGCCTGGAGAGAAGGTTCTGCGGTTGCATTATGCCAACTGCAAAGCCTATAACGCTGACTTTGACGGCGATGAGATGAACGCACACTTCCCCCAGAGTGAGCTGGGCAGGGCTGAGGCCTATAATCTTGTCAGCACTGACCAACAGTATCTGGTTCCCAAGGTAACAAGAAACATAGTGGCAGTATCATATCAAATTACTTAAGACTTAAGATTACTAAATGTATCTCTAAAACAGTTTTTAATAGGATTGAATAGTTTACAGCACTTATAAGACTGAGATTAAATTTTAACAGAAGTTATTTTTTCCTGTTCATTATTCCACAAAAAAAGGACACAATGAACACAAAAACACTTTTGAATGAAGTGTTTGGATTCTGTAATTTGATAACATGCCATCTTCGTTTGCAGAAATTAATAAAACGGCTTTATCCTTCAGTGGTCCTTTTGAAATGCAGGCACAAAGACTAACACATATTTAACACATAACACATTTATATTTATTTTTAAACTATAACTGCCGTTATATCGCGCTTGCAGTGACAGGTCTGTCTGGTTCTCTTGCTTCCTGTGTTTCAGGACGGGAAGCCCTTGGCAGGACTGATTCAGGATCACATGGTGTCGGGCACCAGCATGACAATACGCGGCTGCTTCTTCACACGAGACCAGTACATGGAGCTGGTTTACCGAGGCCTGACGGACAAGAGGGGCAGGGTCCGCGTGCTGCCCCCCGCAGTGCTGAAGCCATGTGCCCTGTGGACAGGGAAACAGGTCTCTCTAGTCTAAAGCTTGTCCGTACTCACAGGGCTCACTGAAAATGGTTGAAACGTAAAGCTGTTGTAAGAATTGCACACCTTGTGTCAGCTGACATGTTAAAACCTCTACCATTTTTCTTAAAAAAACTAAATATAACCCAAACTGTTATTCTTAGTGTAAAAATGTTCTTTACACTCGTTTATGGGTGGGATGATTGCTAGCATGTCTCAAGTAATACTTGTAAACACTTCAGAACCATTTTCAGTACATTAAGGATCTCATTAGCCTTCAGTGTTTATTCCCTAATAATAAGATTATTACGTATAATGGTACGAAATTTGCTTAGTGAAGCACTTTGATAACTTCAAACTCATTAAATGGCAAATAAGAAACTGAACTTTTTTTAGGAGAAATTGATAGTTCTTTAATATTTCACCGTAACTGCTAGTTGAATTCTGAAAGAATTAATTTAATCTTGTTTAACTTGCTTGTTTGTCTGGTTGTCCAGGTTGTTTCTACCTTGCTGATCAACGTAATTCCAGAAAAACACCTACCCTTGAACCTCATAGGGAAAGCCAAGATTCCCAGTAAGGCCTGGATCAAAGAGCCACCACGACCTGTCCCAGGCTACAACCCAGACTCCATGTGTGAGTCCCAGGTAGGGCATCCCTTTGTCTCGTGAAGCACTCGCAGAGTGAGACATTTTGTAATAAACATGCTAGAGCTTCAGCTGTCTCATCTCTTCAAGGAGAAATGGAACTCACTCTAACTGTATTGTTTTACCGGCTGTATCTTTGGGGATATGCACTGTGTGTGCCATCTTATTTTCTTTGTGCCATTATTTACTAATAGTCTTTGTCTTAAGGTTTCTTAAACATTGTATTTGTCAGACCTTTTATTGTAACATTTCTCTGTGGGCATTAATGATGGAAAAACATATGTGATGCTTCCTTCAACATGTGAATAAATTCCATACCCATTAAAGATCGGTTCCCCAGTATCCACTCCAGTGGTGCCCTTTTCTTGCAGGTCATAATCCAGGATGGAGAGCTGCTCTGTGGAGTTCTGGACAAGGCCCACTATGGCAGCTCGGCCTACGGGCTGGTTCACTGTTGCTACGAGCTGTACGGAGGGGAGACCAGTGGCAAACTGCTGAGCTGCCTGGCCCGGCTCTTCACAGCCCACCTCCAGTTGTACAGGGGCTTCACCATGGGTAAGGAGCAGAACAGAGTGGGAGCCTGCTGCATCCTTCAGCAGGGCTGTGTGCGTGTGACCCATGTGTCCCCATCATTTCCTTCAGAGCAGGGGTCTCGTGGAGCTATATGGTTTTCTTTTCAGCTCTCTAGGTATAATTAAACCAGTTTTTATTTCTTCAGACAGAAATTGTATTCCGCTGTGGGGACATCTGTAAAACCCAATTCATCAGGTTTGCTGGTCCCCCTTTAACTTTCATAGTGATTATTACTTGAATAAGGCCAACTAGATACTTGGTGTGGACTGCAATTCATTTTACTACCATTGTATGTATGTTGTACGTTATCTTTAAAAGGGGAGCTGCAACACCAGTTTTATATTTCGGGGTTAAAAAAAGAATCATCATCGATGAGTGCATTTCAAACCACAATGAAAGTAAAACATCCACACAGTAATGTGTAAATCCTCCACTTGACATAAAAAAACGACATTTACAGGATATGCAGCATATTCTATGATTCGGAACAGGGCAACTAACTTGCGGTGACATGAAGCAGCCCTGTGACATTGTAAAAGAGCAGGCTAGTGAATACATCTCTTTTAATCCAATAGAAATACTTCTCTCGACTTTGACACGTTTTTGCCAACAAATACAAATCACTTGTTAACTCTGCATGCAGATCACGTTAGAACCTATACTTATTCGCTTGTCCATAACATTACATTAGTCATTACAGTGGGAAGCTTCACAATTCATACAAACTCTCGCTCTCGTGTGTGGTAAGACTGGTGTTTTGCCACAAAATAGAGACCACACAGTACTTTCACAGAGTTCAAAATTATGTGCTTAATTTGAAATTTGTAAGATTTTGAGATATTGTCAATTAATTTGTATTTGTATTTGTATCTGAGACTTAATAACAGGTCTGAGGTATTGGGACTGCAGTTCTTCTTTAAGAAATGCTTATTTGACCTTGAGAAGATAATTTTTCATTCACTGAAAAATGCATTGGACCATTGTGAAAAAACTATACACATACTGAACAAACAAATAAGGTTAAGAACTTTAATATTTCTGGTTGTCTACTACCGAAGGGATCAAATTACAAACAAACCTGTGAGGGAATAATAGCAATTTCCATTCTTGTAATGAATACAGGCTCTAACAGTAAAATCTTTTTTGCTGCAGGTGTGGAAGATATATTGGTAAAGCCTGGAGCTAATAAAAAGAGAAAGAAGATCATTGTAGAGTCTACCGAATGTGGGGCAAAGGTAGAGTATTGTTGCTCTGTCTGTGCAAGATTATGTTTTTCAACAATCAGTCAGTGGCAGCCTCTTTGCCTCTGAGGTTTTTAATTATTTTGTGAACAAATTATTTTAGCACATTTCCTAAATACAATCCAAAAACTAAAATAATAATTCAGCACTCAATAGTATTCCCCCCTCCACGTTTCTACCTATGTACCTCATAAATACGACCTCCCCTCTTCAAAGGAGCTCCTGTAGGATAAGGCCTTGATTGTGTTGGCGACAGCACGACATCAAGCCTCCACTTTCTCCCTAGTGGCACAGAGAGCTCCACTGAGATACTGTCAGGACAGGCTCGGACCCTCTGAGGCCAGGAGGGGGGATGCAGAGACTCTCAGTTCAGCGCAGACAACTTTGTAGCTACAGTCAGACCAGTCAGCCAGATCACTTTCTGCTGCTCCGATTGCAGTCATCATACAGCAAGAGTAATATCCCTGTTTAATAATAATGGACAAAACATTCCCAGAACGCAACATCTTGACACTCCTAGAACTTGTAAAAATGTGTCCACATGCTCCATGGACAGAGTGTTCTAAACAATCTTCAGGAGACAGTGTCTCCTAGTGTCAGGGCTCAGATCTTCTGAGTGAAGGGAATTCAATATTTAAGATTTTTGGAGGCTATATTATCCCAAATATTGTCCCACGAAATGGCCTCATCTGCAACGGTCAAGTTCCTGCACCAAATAAGTACCGCTCAGCAGATACTGTACTACTGTATATGAAGCCTGTTATAAAAATACATAAAGAGAGAAAGCCAAGCGTGCTGTTTTACCCCTGATATGAAGCAGATTGCCATGCCAAGATAGCATTGGGTGAATAGAAACCCTCAACCCCCAGGTTATGCCACAGGCTCACTTTACTTGCATCTCCATTCAGCATAGAAGCAAAGAAGAGCCTAGAAGCCCTCATTATGATTAGAACTTAAGAAAGGCTGCAAGCGAGCGGAGGTCTTTGGGCCCATCTAGCCTGTTTGTGAGTTAATTGCAAGTTCTGTAACGTGCAAAAGCCATCATTGAAAATATCTGAGAATGTGAATTCCTTTGTTGCTCAAAAGGGGAAAAGATACAGAAAAGTTAACTTAAGAAATGTATTAAGATGTAAAATTGTGGTTTGTGCTCAAGTGTCTTTTGTGATTTTGTGAGTCTACTAACCTCCAAGTCTTAATTGTGGTCTCATGGGCCCAAAACACAGACTGAAATATGCTAGAGACAGCTCAGTGTGAATCAGATTTTGAAGTCTTTATGACAAGATTAGACTTTCTTCAAATAGATGCCAAAGTACAGGAGTGTGCCTGTAAAGAGCCCTCACAGCTGTGGCTTGTCCTTGATTTAGCCAGTGCAGCTGTGTTTTCACATTTTCTGTTTATTGCAGTAAGACTGAAGCCAGAAATGTCATAAAATACCTCTATTTCTAGTACATAGCAGAAATACCAGGTTATGAATTAGGGTTCATCCTGTTAAATATATACAGCAGACATAATTTCTTCATTTTTCAGTTTCGTTTAAATGATAATGCTTTATTTTAAAAATTATACAAGGTCAAACTTGAACTGCTAGGAAAAAAAAACCATCACTGCACTTTATACCAAGTCTAAATAGTCTACATTGATTTCTGCCTTTCCTTTGCACAAGTTAAGGTAAAGTTTGATTAAAGTTAGAATATCTTTATGTTTGTCAGTTGCACTATTATGTTATTATAGAATGTACCCTATGTGTTCAGACATTGTCTGTATTGGGTTTTATCAAGATTTTTTTTCTTTGCCTTTACCAAAGAGAATTAACAACTGTTTAAAATTTGTCCTATGTTAGTAGAGTACCTAGATATTCTAAAAGGTGTGCAACTGGTCTGAACACTGGTCTAAGCAACAGTTTTTCAAGTTGTCCATCGATACAGATGATATGATAGTATATAGAAAACAGTTGTCGTTATCTGTATATAATACACCCCCTTTGTGCTGTGTGTTGGCTGTGTAAGTGAAGTTACCCCTGTCCTGCTGCAGGCTGTGCGAGCTGCTTTCAACCTCCCCGAGACTGTTCCGGAAAGTGAGGCCAGGGACAAGTGGCATGATGCCCACCTCAGCCCCGACCAGCGAGACTTCAACATGGTGGACCTCAAGTTCAAGGAGCAGGCCAACCTTGTCAGCAATGGCATCAATAAGGTTGGTGCGTCTCACCACTTTATGAGCAGTTTCTGTCTCTTGCCTTTATATCTTCTTTCAGTTCTTGATACACTTTCTCTTCGGGTGCTCTTTCTGCTGCGATTGTTAAATGCGGCAATGCGAGGCCTGCTAATGCTCCTGCAACACCCAGCTCTGTACAGAGCTCCTAGGCGCTCGCTCTGGCAAGTCATAGGTTTGTTCCACTTAATTCAGTTTAACTCCTGTACCATCTCAAGTGCATCCCATTATTAATCATTGAGTAATTGGTCCCAGAAGTGCACGTATCTCCCCAAAGTATTTGTGTGTTCTATAAATCGTGTCCTCTTCTTAACCAGAGTCACAATATGCAGTTGCTTACCTCAAAACACTTTTTGTTTTTTATGAGAGAGAAATACCCTTCAGGTATATTGTATGAGCTCTAATGATTGTATTTCCATTTCTTTCTTTTGACAAAGATAATTGATAATGATAATTAAATCAGCAAAAATTAATTAGAGTTAACCTCAGAATAGTCAGATTTTAGGAAGCCCTTAAACTTTATCTGTAATTTTATCATGAGTAGCAATTGCACTGCAATTTCCCTCACGGGATCAATAAAGTATCTATCTATAGATATTTTGATTTTTCTGGTGGTTTAGGGAGAATTTTGCAATGCTTGTTTTAGTTATGTAAGTGCACTGAATATTTCTTCTCAGTGGTGATTCTCCAATATTAACGTTTGCAGAGATTTTGTGATGATAATTTTATAAGAACCTTAAAGGTTATTTGTATGTTCATGTGTTAGCCAGTTTTCTGTCCATGTCCCCAGTGTGTTCTGTTGGCTCATGCTGCAATCTGTGTCTTCTCAGGTGTGCATGCCCCTGGGTCTTCACAGACGTTTCCCAGAGAACAACCTTCAGCTGATGGTGCAGTCTGGGGCCAAGGGCTCCACTGTCAACACTATGCAGGTAAAGCCATAGTGCTGAGTGCAGACATCAGCAAGGCCCTGCTGAGGTCTGTGTAATAATGTGAGATTCCTATAGTGATCCAGACTACAAAACAAAATGATTACTGCGCTATTACAATACAGTCATGCTTGAAAGTTTGTGAACCCATTGCATAATTAGAGATTTCTTGTTTTTTTAACCACAAAATGTATATTTAATCAGAATCAAGGTAAAGCAGGATCAGGTGGGTCAACCAATTAACCGAGGTAACCAAAGATCTGAAATGATGTTTTAAGGAGGAGCTAACATAAATGATTGCAAGAAAGCAGGTTAGTTACTCTTCCTGAGAGTCTAGCAGAACTGAGGAAAAACGTAGTGGATGCTCATCAATCTGTACAAGCCATTTCAAAATGGACTCCATAAATCAACTGTTAGGCAAATAGTATACAAGTGGAGGGCATTTAAAACAGTGGCAGCACTGCCAAGAAGTGGACGTCTTCCTGAAGTTTATCCCAGGGTCACAAGGAGAATGGTAAAAGAGGTAAAAGGTAATCCTATAATAACATCCAGAGATCTACAAGCCTCCCTAGCTACCTCTGGAGTAGTGGTGCATAGAACAACAATAAGAAGAATCCTGAACAGAAATGCCATCTATGCAAGGGTCCCCAGGAAGAAGCCTTTTCTGTCAAAAAAGAACAAAGCTGCCCATCTGAAGTTTGCCAGAGACCACCTGGGCAAGCCTGAAGAGTTCTGAAAGTCTGTTCTCTGGACAGATGAGTCCAAAATTGAACTATTTGGGCACAACAAGAGGGCCCATGTTTGGCAAAGAGCCTACACAGCCTACCACCAACAAAACCTTATCCCTACTGTCAAGCATGGTGGTGGGAGTGTCCTTGTATGGGGCTGTTTTTCTTACTCTGGCCCTGGGCAACTTGACATCATTAAGGGAATCATGAATTCTGAGAAATATCAAGGAATTCTTGAGAAGAATGTCAGGCCATCAGTTCGAAAACTCAAACTGGGCTCAAAAGTGGATGCTTCAACAAGACAACGATCCTTAACATTCGAGTAAGTCCACTAAAGAATGGCTGAGGAAGAAGAGGTTCTGTGTCCTGGAATTGCCAAGCCACAGTCCTGACTCAATCCCATTGAAATGCTGTGGCAGGAACTGAAGAGGGCTGTTCATGCAAGACGTCCTTCAAACCTCACAGAGCTGGAGGAGGTTTGTAAAGAGGAGTGGGAAAAAATCCCTCCAGCAAGATGTCAGAAACTGATAAATTGGTTATAGAAGGCAACTGTGAAGTTATTACTGCTTAAGGAGGTGCCACAAATTATTTACTTTTGCACACAAGAATATCTGGTGATTTGTTAAATATCACAGTCTAATAATCTGACTTCAAATCCCTTTTTATGTGTGGGAAGTCTTTTTTTAGGATATTCATGCTATATATTCATTGAGAGTTCAGGTTCATATAATATCTCTATAATATCTAAAATAATGACCACCTTGAAGGGTTTACAAACTTTCAAGCATGACTGTATGTTGCTATAAAATGTAAACACGTTTCACACATACCCCAAAAATGGCTACATGGTGAATAGGTCCATGTTAAATCTGGTCAAGATTTTTAAAGATTGAAAAAGAGTTTAAAGTTTGGGGAAAAAAGGGGTTTGCATAATTATGTAAGGGTTTTTAGGCATGCTTTTGAAATGCTATTTGCTAGCTTTTCTTTGTTAAAGTGAGGATCGAATAGTGACACATAGCTACACATATGAACTGAAACTTGCAGTGTCTGGGCCCAGTTCCTCAGACTCAGACTGATGTGTTAACGGTTGATTTTGTGCAGATTTCCTGCTTGCTGGGACAGATTGAGCTGGAAGGACGCCGCCCCCCACTGATGCCATCTGGGAAATCTCTGCCCTGTTTTCAGCCTTACGACGTGTCCCCTCGAGCAGGGGGCTTTGTGTCCGGCAGATTTCTCACTGGGATTAAACCCCCTGTAAGCAACTCCGTGTTTCTCCTTCATGTTCTCTGGAAGCATGTTGGTTCAGATTGTTTTTTGGAACTTGATGTTTGAAGAGGAGAGCTGTAATTCTCAACAGCGGCTTGTAGCCTGTTTTTATAAGTAGTAGGATGGGAGACATTTCAAGAAAACAGGTTGTTATTGGTAGACCAATGTGCTGACCAAGCACACTCTGCTATATGAAGTGCTATCTTTGAGATGAGATGTTAAACCATGGTCATGATTGCCTGGTCATTAAAGATCGCCTGGCACTGTTTATAAGAGTATGGTTATTATTCCATGTGTTGTGACCAAATCCCTCACTGGATCTTCCACAAGTTCTCCCATAATTCAACTGATGAAGCAGTTCTCTCTTAACTCCCTGCTGCCACACAACTGCTGCACCACTGAGCTGGGAGGAGAAAGAGGGTCTCTTGCTGTATGTAAAGCACGTTGGAAGGTTGCAAGATGGGAATCTTCACATAAATCGTACAATTCATAGAGGGCTTAAATAAGAGGATGAAGTATCATGCCAGTCCAATGAAGGTCAAAATAGACATGTAAAGTAGTCTGTTCTTTTAAAAGAAGCACCTGGAATTCTACTATCCCCTGGAACATTTTAGGAAGAATTGTATTTAGAAGGTATTTATATTCAAATATTGTCTGTACAAGAATTAATTACCGCCACTGTAACGCACCGCTTCCTTACAAATACTGTACTGTTGAAAGCGATTTGGAGTTCCTTTGTGAAGTTTTTTCAATTCACATGTGCCTGTTTTATAGAAGACAGAACATAATCTAAAACTCTTCTCCATGGTTTTCATGATTACTCTTTTTAAAGGAGGTTGTAACTCTTCCTTCTTCATAAAGATGTTGCATTAGCGTTGTATGTGAAGTTACTCTTTTATCATTGTGCTTATACTCTAGATGGCAAATTCTAAAATTATAATTGAGAATTATTTGTTTATTATTTGTAGATCAGTTTCAGTGTCCTGGGCTACATGGTGCACACCAGTAAGGTTTTGTTTTAGCGTGACTAGAAAAGGGGGTCGCTTATGACCTTCACACAGTCTTCTAGAGGGTTTTATATTTGTTTATGTTTGTGTTTCTGTTCTTTCTTTTTCCTTTCAGGAGTTCTTCTTCCATTGTATGGCTGGTCGTGAAGGTCTGGTAGACACAGCTGTAAAAACCAGTCGGTCTGGTTACCTTCAGAGGTGAGGAGACTGCATCTTACTTAAAGCGTGTTAAACAAATTTAAACTGAGTACTCTGGCTTGACGGGTAATTTCCCAGACTGAACCACAGAACCACAGCGGCCCATGGGGCCAGAGCTTATCCTGGTTTCCATGACGTCAAGTAGAGGAGTGAACATGACACCTTCCCCCCTGGGACACAGGCCCATCGGAGGGATGACCCCCCAGTCTTTGCTTATAAATAAATTACTGCTTAGAAATGAAGTGTGATACTAATTTAATTTTATAATAAAAAATTATAAAAAGTATGAGCTTATTGTCCAAGGTTTCTGCAAACAGCAGAAATTGTGACTGCTGCATTTCTAGAAGGGTCCAGCCTTTGCTTTATTTCTTCAACAAAACCTTTGTCTTTCACATAATTGCAAACTTTGTGCTGGTCACCCCATTGTGTTTCTGCAGTTGTTTTTTCCCATGGTCACCAGTCTGTTTACCACTGTTGTATTCTTTTGCTTAGATTTATTGTTCTCTTGTTCATAAACTAAAGTGACTGCCCTTTTGTCTAAGTGTCACTTAAGCATTTTGAAAGTCACTTTGTTAAAATAATAGTATCTTCACATTATTCACAGTTTCTGTCTGGAGCTTTAGAGTTTTTTTCCATTATTTGTTAAATCCACAAACCTTATCTTATGATACCTGAGCTGACCTTGAATTAGTCTTTATTTTGTTTTGTTATTTTATGGCTTTTTAAGCCAAATGTGTTTTTTTTCAGTCAGTAAAAATGAGCTTGCAGTGTTCGATGTGTTTTTTACATCCGCTTTCCCATGTGTCATTGCAGGTGCATCATCAAGCACCTGGAGGGGCTGGTGGTGCAGTATGACCTGACTGTACGGGACAGCGATGGGAGTGTGGTTCAGTTTCTGTATGGAGAGGACGGCCTGGACATCCCCAAAACACAGTTCTTACAGCCTCGGCAGTTCCCCTTCATCAGGGACAACTATGAGGTACTACGTGTCTTTGGAACGTATTCACATCTTTGGCTGCTTTGTGTAGCAGTTCTTATTTTTCATTAAATAATTAAGCAGAAGCTCGATTACTGAAAAACCAAGGTCATTTTGTGAATGAATTGTGCTTATTGTTTATTGATCAAGAGCCTACGGATACATGTCCATTACTGCAAAGACCTAGTATTTGGCATCAATGACATGAATAAAATCTCATATAGTCTCAATATATTCAAAGTACATTTTTCCTCACTGAAATACTCCTAAGAAGTTTAGAGGCAATAGAAATTAGGCAGAGAAAGCCATGAGTTTATACTAAGGTTTGGTCGCTGAAGGTACTAAATAGTACTCTATAGTACAAGCTTGTAGACCAGCTGTGTAAACGGTATTGAGAATTTTGAATGTCGATGGCTTTGCTTTTTAGAATCTCAATATTGTTTCATTCGGGTGTGAGCTGTTGGAAGTGTTAGCAGATAGAGCTTGAGAACTCTTTGTCAAGGTTGCTGCTTGAGAACTCTTTGTCAAGGTTGCTGTTCCAGTGGATCATGTGTTTTTGTTTTTGAAGGTTATCAAAAAATCCAAGTGCTTAGATGAGGCTTTATCCAAGATGGACTCCGAGGCTTCATCCAAGCATTTCAGAGCAATCCAGAAGTGGAAAACCAAGCACGAGAACAGCTCTCCCCGCCAGGGAGCCTTTCTGCTCTTCTCTCAGAAGAAGCTGGCCAAGCTGCAGGCCCACTGCGAGCAGGGGTCACTGGTTAACAGCAGGACTCTCGCCACACAGCAGGTACGGCCACCAGCACTGGGGCACATTGCCCTGCAGGTGACGCGACCATCTAAATTCTTTCTCCTGTGCAAAACAAAAACAGATTTCCTCTATATTAACCCTTTATGGCCTGTCAAGACTGGAAAGTGCCCTCAGTAAAAGACTGTGAACTCAAAATCTGGCCTCCAAAGAGGAGGAGGGGAAGGAGAATGCTCATTTTCAGTGAGCATTGATATTAGAGTACAGAATGGAGGTGACTAAAGTTCATCTCCTAAAGAGATAGATGTGAACAGTGGCCTACAATATAGGAGCACTTGTTTCTTTTTTCACACAAAAGCACAAATTCAGGGCATAAAGAATTTGAAAGGGAATTGAGAAATACAAGTTCCAAAACATGGAACATAATGTTGCAGGAAAAGTTGAATTTTATAACCACATTGTGGGTGCGGATTTTTCTTTTTTCGTGGTTGTTGAAAATTTGTAAAAGACAAGAAGCGAAGTACCATTTCCAGGTTCATTTAGCAGTACACTAACTGCACGACAGAAGGTTTGATTTTGCAGTAATCTTTAGCAGTGATTTCTGCTCAAGCTGACATGAAGTCCTGTTTTCTTCACATAACACTGTTTATGGAGGCCTCTCTGGACTGCAGTAAAGCTCTAATAAGCATATCATCATAAGTACACTTTTTTTCTTTGCATTAAAGTGAAATTCCTTTGTCAGCACGCTTGTGCTAACTCCAGTAAACAGTACAGAATCCAAATACTAATGAATCAAGCTGCCACTCCAGAAAGAAAGTTCATTTGTGTCCTTCTCCCTGTTACCCTACAGCTGATAGAGAGGTGGTATTCCCTGGACAAGGAGGGCCACAGGAAGTATGCCAGGAAGACAGAACGCTGTCCTGATCCTTGCCTGGCCGTGCACCGGCCGGACATTTCCTTCGGCTCTGTGTCTGAAACCTTCGAGAGCATCGTGGACTCCTACCTGTCTGACTACCAGGCCCAGCAGAGCAGTGCTGACTGCGAGAAGTCTCTGTCTGTGGAGAGGTGAGCACTCCCCCCAACACACTAGCCACCGCAGCTTACCACACTCGCCACATTGCTTTCTTCTGGTCACACTCATTGTTAAAGTTTGTAATGTGGGCATTGCACTCGAAACCAAAAGCTTTTAAGGATAAAATGTATAGTGATACTTCTGCAATTCAAGAGGGCACTAATGTAGAAATGAGGAAGCCAAGAAGAGCAAATTTTCGGTTGAAAGTTGGTTTTTGCAGTTGTCTCTCTTCCCACGCTATCAGCAGCAGACTGAACTGCTTTCCTGGCTCTAATTTAAGTCACCATGTCCTTCTGTTGTCTTTGATGTCCCCTGAACAGCGGGCACGTTGTACCTGTTCTCAGGCACTGGACCTGCAGTGTCGTCCAATATTTTCATGCTAGGGTCCCACTTTATGTTGGTAGTAGCAAGTAGTTTTTTATTATACAGAGCCTGATTGTTGTTTGCCAGCATAAATAACTGAAAAGCAGAAGGAAGGTACTGATTTAGAAGGTGTCTATTACCCCCTTCTGTCATCAGCCTGAAGTCCTTGCTGCACTTGAAGTGGCAGCGGGCGCTTTGTGACCCTGGGGAGGCTGTGGGGCTCCTGGCGGCCCAGAGTATCGGCGAGCCGTCCACTCAGATGACACTCAACACCTTTCACTTTGCTGGCAGAGGAGAGATGAACGTCACCCTTGGGATCCCCAGGTACTGACTCAGCCTGCGCACTTGGAGTATCATTCTCCAGACTTCGGGTTAGGGCTGTTTTGATATGCTGAGGTACAAACCACATCATTCTTTTTTAATTGGACAAAAGCACTATTTATCATCTTATCTGGCTTATGCTTTTCTGAAGGACACTAAGAGAGGCTACTTTTACTGATGTACACTTTGCCTTAAGATTAAAAACAGGTTATGTTCCAAAGCCCCACTCAACCTGAGTAAGTCTTAAGTCAAATCAATTTCATGCCATGCCAAAAATGTATTTTGTCCAATTTCATTTAAAATATTATTCTCTTTTTTCTAGGACTTGATGCATCTTTGTCACTTTTCTTTTTCTGAGCCATTAATAAGAACTATTAACATTCTAAATAACCACAAAACTAGAGAGTGAAAGTTGGCATTTAAACATAAACTAGCACTGAATGAGAGAGTCACTATACCCAGGAGCACTGAACCATGGTTCTAGTGAATGAGCAGCATGAAATTTGTTGTTTCTTTATCGTGTCCCCGTATGATATCTTATGGGAATCAGCTTTTGTGCTTTTTCTGTGCTCAGGTGTTCTTATCTCAATTATTCACATCTTGAGGACTGAGTTGTACAGTTAATGTTTGCTGCAATGTTCTAGATAAAGAATTCTGCTTAAGTACTAGGATTTGAACCTACCACATTCCAGTCCAGAGGACTAATCACCATTAATCATTACTGCCATTATGGAAAAGAAGGGTGTTTGTATTTTTTCTAAATTATTTGCTATAATTGTCCATAATAGCGTTTTAGGGCTTAAGTAGCTTTTGACTACATTAAAAACCTAAACCTACATTAAAAAAAGAGCTGCAGTCTTTGAGGACTGAACATAAGTATATTACTTCGTAATCCATACAAATAATAGAAAATAAATGGACTGCAATGGAAAAGAGGGCTTTCTTTATAAATTTAATATTGAGTTTCTTTTGGAGTTCTTGTGTTTCTATAAATCTTACAAATTACAAAAATAATTAGTTAAACATGTAAGAAGATAAAGCTTTGTTAGAAATAATTTCTTGATAAGCATACCAATTGCAGTCACCTGGAGCTTGAAGTAGATGCCATTGGCTGCTGTGTGAGACAGATACTAATGTTGCAAGTACAGAAAAGCTGCAGAGGAAAGCATGGAGCTGATGTTTTTCATGTTCTTAACTGTTTTTTCTTAAGAGACTTCATTTCATTTTAAAAGTTTGTTAAATAGGAAATTCCACTCATTTCTGAGCAGACTTTTGAGCTCTGGCTCTCTCTGTGTTCAAGGTTGCGTGAAATCCTCATGGTTGCCAGTTCTTCCATCAAAACCCCAATGATGAGTATCCCTGTGCTCAACACAAAGAAGGCCTTGAAGAAGGTGAAGAAGCTCAGAAAGAAGCTGACTCGTGTGTGTCTGTCAGAGGTGTGTATCAGCGTGTGTCTCCTGTTGGGCATCCCAGTGGCATTACCTGATTAGTGCCAAACAAACAATGGGCAGGCTGATTCAGCAAAGTTTGCTCCCTAAATTCTAAAAATTAAAAATGTCTCAATCTTAACATGAGACAACATAACTGAGCTAAGCAAATGAATGATAAATATAACATATGTTTCATTTTGGGGAAATTTGTAAATATGTTCAACCCAGTGATTTCAATCTACTATGAGTACTAGGACACATTCACTTTTCTCCATATTATAAATATCACCCATTGAACTCTCTAAACTCTGTGTTGTAACGTTTGATGTTTTGTTATAGTCAGTGTAAGTTCTTGCCTGTCCTCGGGGAGTTCTGACATTGATTTTTTTAATCTTATATATTCATGCTCTGTTGGATTTAAAAGGGGAGATAGACTTTCCGATTTTTTTTGCTAATGAACTTCCTGGTTGTGTTAGCTTGTGTCTTCGACGATTGTCATACTGCACAGTGAAGTTCCATCCAATAAGTATAGACACATTCTACATAAGCTGACAAAAATATCATCAGAATTCATTCAGAACTCTGAAGGTCGTATTTTGGAACTGTTGTTTCCCTCTTCACACTTTGACCTTTCCGTTTCTTTAGTAAAGGTTTATCTTGGGCTTATCTCTTCATAAAATTCTGCTCACCTTTGTACTTCAGAGTAAGTTCTGAACTATGGTGGAACTCTTGTCGTGACCTGGGCGCATATGGCCATTTCTGGGCCTGGCTCACTTATCTTTATCAATGCTGGCTGCAACAGAATGAATTTTGAAGCTTACAGAAATATATTGTCAGCTTATGCAGAAAACCTAGCTTTTTTCTTAATGTCTTTTTAAAGTTTAATTTTGTTACAAAAGGCTTTCGTATTTCTTTAGCAAGTTTTGTTAAAGAATTACGGAAAGATTCTTGTTATCCCTGTAAAGAGATAGCACACAACGCTAACTCAAAGACTGCAGCTTCTCACTCGGGTTGGGATTTACTTCCATTGTTTTTCTACTGTTGGTTGTTCTCACTCAGATCAAGAATTGTTCCTGTTTCACCCAGTCCTAGAAATAAGTCTTCAGATAATGCCATTAGCATATTATGACAGCAAAGACAGGAAGCTGTGACCATAACTTCTGGCACTGTGCCTGACTGTAGTCTGCCTTATGGTAAAGAGATGAAAAGAGAGTTAATTTGAACGGACATGTCTAAACATGTTAGTGTTAATGAGTTTAGTTTAAAGATGCTTTTGGTCATTTTTAATTTGAGAAATGCACTCATGAACTGAGCTTATTTTTTATTCAAGGTAAGTATATTTTGAATAAATTAACTTGTGTGAATCTTTGTTTTAGAATTTTTACATTTCCGGCACTATTGGCCTATAATAAGTAATAGTTGTTGCGGTGAATTCTGGAGCAGGGGAAAAAGCACAATGCTTTCTTCTGCAGATTAGTTTGATGATGCCTATTATGCCTCATCCTTTATTTAAACACAATTTAATTATGTTTTACTACAAGCATGGTTTAGCCCTCAGGATGTGTTTAATACCTTTTAGCTAGAGCTATGAGATCATTTGAAGTAAAAAGTTGCCCAAATTGTAAGTGGCTTGCTAGTGATTGTACAAAAATAGTTTTTGCAAGATCTGTTTAATAAATTTATAGGGTTAAGGTTCCAGTAGCTGCAAAAACATGTATCTGATTAATTTGTAATGCCCTGTTAAATATTAGTTTGTAATGCGTACATATGATATGTATAATATCTACACTCACACAATTATAGTCACCCCTAGCCTCTACGATTTACTATTTGGGCTCTACTATTTCTATTGAAAATATATATTTAATAAGTAATTAAACATAGTGTAATATTTAATAACATTAATTAAAGAATAGTGTGGGACATACATATATAAAATCCCTAAATGGACATATCGGTGTGGTGCATAGCCATAGGTCTTGTAAAAATGGAGCACGCAGGTATATTTTAAGTTGATGTCTCCTCTGTGTTGTGAAGGTCCTGCAAAGAGTGGATGTGAAGGAGTCTCTAAGTGTGCAGGAGAAGCTGAAGAAAAGCCGTGTCTATCAGGTCACCTTCCACTTCCTGCCTCCTGAGCGCTACCAGCATGACAAGCCTCTGTCCCCGAAGCAGATCCTGCACTTCATGGAGACCAGGTACACACAGCTGCTGCCACCACACCGCACAGTGCGAGTCTTCACTGGAGCAGACAAACCCTGGCTTCAGCAGTCTGCAGCTTGCACTGCACACCATGTGCAGAGCTACATTAGCTATTTCACAGTGCGTGTTTATTTTTTTCACATGCCTTATGTCTGTAAAGGTCACTGCTGTTACGCAAATATGAGCCTGAAGCCATGCGTATCATTAGGTTCTTTGACGAGTGTTTGGAAAATGGAACAAGTACTGTAATTTAAGAAAAAACAAAAGCAATGCAAATGATGCACAGAGCGTGTCATTTACATTTTATTTTAATGATTTTAGCTATAAATGCTTAGTTATACATTGGGAAGAGGCCAGTCAGTTCACCTATCTTGTTTGGATTCTTGTAATTAAGGGTAATGTAATTACCCTTAAATACTACACTTAGGATTGGGATATACTGTATATACATTATTATTAGACAAAAAAGAACAGCTTTTCTAGATACACTTTGCACTTTTTAAAAAAATCTTGCACTAGGGAAATTAATGATAAGTATAGGCCTAAAACCTTATTATACAGTATATGTTGTGAATCCACGTTTATCTTTAGTCTGTTATCTTACAGCACTGGTTCTTTACCAAACATGCCCTTTTTTGGGGTTTGAGACATGCCAGAATTTTTAGAAGGTGATTCATCGAAAACACATAATACTTCAATTATTTTTAATAAGGGGTGTGAGAACATATTTTGAGGGGAACAAAGAGGCACAGATTGAAGTAAAGATTAAGTCCCACTAGTCAACAATTTTGCCTTTCTGAAAAAAACCAAAACAGGATCAGCCATCATCAAAATTGTAAAGTTTCTCATCTAAAATGACATGCATGGAACCTTGTTTGGATTCGTAACAATTTTTAAAATGAGAAAAGTAGATTCCCATATGGAACGGGTGAAGGTTTATTCCGTGGTGAAAGAAACAGAGAAGAGACACAACATTTTGGCTGTGGAGCCTTTTTCACAAAATGTATACAATGAAAAAAAATATTGTAAAGATCCATCCATCCATTTTCTAACTGCTTCTTCTAATTCAGAGTTGCGGAGGAGCAGGGGCACCAGGCTTAAGGCAGGATGCTCCCTGAACGGGTTGCTAGTCCATTATAGGACAGACACAGACTATTACACGCACACACTCACACAGAAGCCAGTTAATCTACAGTCTGTGAACTGTGGGAGAAAACAGTGCACACAGAGGAAACCCTCTCAAACACAGGAAGAATACACATAATGTACGCCACGCAGATAACACCCCAGGTCTGGAAGTAAAGCAGGAATGATAACCACTGTGCCGCCATGCCACCGTATTCTAAAGATGAGATTTAAAATCTAAAAAATAAAAGCTGCCTGTTAAATTTGCATTCCACATGTATTCAAAATACAAAATTTCAGTTGTTCAGTTGTTCCCATTCACTCGTGACACTTAACAAAGTAAACAAGAAAAGTGAAAGCATGCTTGATTCCCCTTTAAATATGTAATGTTTGAACAGTGTTTTAGGAGGAGAAGTACCTTTCATTCTTTAGCGTGAACTCGTTCAAACCAGATTTCAGCCACAATCTGCATCAAAGAACCTGTTGTCAGCAGATTTCAAATTATTTCCAAGAGCAGTGCCTCTAGAAATAGTGACTATCTTTCTTTTGAGAATTTTGTATTCTGTTGTCATAAGAGTGATGATTGTCTTTTTTGTATGGATAGATTCAGTGATTATTTAGTCTCGAAAGTGATTTCTTTTTAAATAATTTTATCACACAGTGGCAGCGGACAAAGAGTACTTAATTCCAGTTTAGACAGTGTAGTGGCAAAAACTAACTGGAATGAGTTGATGTGAGATTGGTCTCTATTGAAACGATAGAAACATCTAAGAAGGTAAAAGCCAAATGGTTTAAATACATCAAATACCTTTTAAGACAATTTCTCCTCATATAAACGAAAATGACAAAAAAAAACACACAATCCCGTTACAGGAATGCAGTATGATGAATTGCTAGAGCATAAAGAAGGATATTGGAACAGCCAAGAGGCAGAGCAAAGAAAAGCAATAAAAACTCAAATAAACTATTAGCAACACCAAAAGAACAGCAAAGGATGAAGTGTCTCAGAGATAACGATGGGAAATTTTTAGGTAATCCAAAAGAAACGGCTCATGTATAAATGAGTACTTCACTGAGATGTTTGACAAAAAATAAAACAATGTACCCCAAGATTGAAAAAGGATACAGTTTTATATTAAATAAAATTAGAATATTAGAAGTAGAAGCCGTTACTGATACTAAGCAGTGATTGAGATAAACCAGTCTCCAGGGTCTTTTGGTATTCTGTCAGTTGTACTTAAGGAAACAATAGATGTTCTTCATAGGCCATTAACAGAACTCCACCTCTTTAGACAGGGGTAATGCTTATTGACTGGAAAATTGCTATGGTAGTGCTGATCTTAGGGTATTGAACAAGTAATTACAGTCTTCTATTGTATGTAAGGTTGTAGAAGCATTAATTATAGATAAAGTATAGGATCATCCGTGTGGCTGTTGGATTTTAGGGGTTGGTTAACATGGATTTAGAAAAGGGTTTATCTTGCATAACTAACTTGTTACAAGTTCTTTAAATGTGGATGCACACAGGGTATATAATATGATGTTGTATGTTTAGATTTTTAGAAGGTTTTTAGAGTTAAAGATGACATTTTATCAAAGATTACAGTCCAACCTCCCTTTGTGTGATTCCTTTTTATTTATTTGTGATGCCATGAAGATATAAAACCTTTTTTTAAATAACAGACATTTGTTTAATTAAAAAATAAAATGCATATGTAAAATTAGTTTGTAAAAAAAAGTTTACAAAATTTAAATGCAACACATTCACAGTGATTTTCGATTTGAAAAAAACATTCAGTTATGTAATTATCTAAGAATGTGATTTCTTATAAAATGGTCCATTTAAATTGTCAATTGTCAGAAGTATGAAAGTGAAGACCATTTTTAAAGAACTTGCTTAAAATGCTGTTTTTTTCATGTTCTAGGTGGACTGTATCAAACCTGTGGGCTTAATCCACAATTTTTATAATGCAATAGTATTGTGGGGAAAGAGCAGAGATTAGAATTGAATGCTTTGTGTTTGTTCAGAAATCCATTCTCCAGCTATCATGCCATATCATGCCCTGTTTTAGAATTTGAGATGTTCTCATCAACAAAGGATTAAGTAAAAGAGAAATGTTTTTACAAACATGATCTCATTTATGGGAACAGATACTTTGCAGCTGTTTCTTCTAACTTTCTTAAAAAAACAGTTATAATCCTGTGAACAATTGTCTCATTATTCCAATGTCATTTACCCTTTGTAACTTGTTTTAGAATTTGATTTTTTTCCACTATGTGCAACCACTTGCTGTCTTTCCCTTGTCCTGAAAGAACCCAAGGGCAATGTGGAAACTCAGAGAATGTGCATCAAGGATTGAGAATAAGAAGCTTTCCTTTACAAATAGGTGGTGGGTGTCTGGAACAAATTGCCAAACCATTTTGTTAAAGTTGTTTCCCTTCAAGAAATAGTTTCAGATTTGTAACCTTTATGTCCTTAATTATGTACTGTATGGAAATACAGTCACTGACAATGGTATTGGTTATTGCTTAATTAATAGATATTTAATATTAATATTAAATAAACTGGGTTTATTATACTACTAGACCAGTAGTGATTATTCTGTATTCCAGTCCAGGACTGTATTCCAGTCCAGGAGTTCTGTTAAATCTGACTTTGTTGCCATTAGTGTACCTTCATAGTTTTGTTCAAGCTGTTGAACTTAGAGAACATAATGCTAAAGGATTTTGTAGACAGGTACTGTGTAATTGTAATTTTGTGTAAAGAATAGAAACAACCAGTTATGTCAACTGTAAGTCTTCACAGATTAATTACAACACCTTCTCTTTTTCCTATAGTGTTTGGCTGCCATAAGGACTACTGTTCTGTAACCTCATAGTTTATCTATGGAGTGTAGTACTTATTTAATGTATGATGTATAAGGCAGTTGGTCAGCTGTGAACACTAGGAAAATCTCTCTCTCTGGGTTTCTGTACTGACACAATTAAAAAAATCAGATCTTGTTGCAAAATATAATTATATATAAAATAATAAGAAATCCATCCACTTTATTTAATATAGGTTCATGGAGGAGCTGGAGTCTATCAGGGCAAGTGACAAGCAACAAGTGCAAAGCTCAATTTTCTTTATAAGTCTTCCTTTAAGAAAAAGTGATGTCAATATAAGCAAATCAGAGTAAAGAAAAAATAATTATGACTGTTAATTACCATCTAGCCTGTAATTAAATCCTAGACACACCCACAAAATATTTCTAAGGCTGAAGTCATGTTCTTAAAAGAATAGGTCTCCTTCATCGGTGAAGAATGTGGAACTCTTGGTATTGTCAGAGGTGAAAATGGAGTGTCTTACACGTGTGCAGTGGTGATGACTCACTGTGTGTGCTAGTCATGAGAGAAGTCACTGTTGTTTACCACTTTGAGGCAGGTGCCCTTTTGAGTGGGATAAGACCAACCTCAGCAGCTACAGTAATTGACATCAGGTCTGTTGTTTAGGGTCCCGCCTTTCAGAATTAAAAGCACATGCTCTGCTTGTGTCATCTGTTCTGTACCCTGAGACAGAACATAATTCTGGGGAATTTTGGGATCTAGTTGTGCACGCATGTTTTGATATCCTGTGATGGGCTTTCATTTGTTCTTCTTCACAAATGGCAGATTCTTCAGGATACTCTTGGAAGCTATAAGAAAACGGAGCTTGAAGCTGGCATCTCTGAACTCTGTAAATACATCCAAAGCAACACAAAGGGATCTCCATGACTCAGAAGAACCACAAGTAAGGGCTAAGACAGAAAACCCCTTCCTTCTTTAGCCCTTTTTAATCTATTTAGCTTTTTAGATTAAGTACTTATTTCTTTTCCTGTAAGTGAAAAGACAGTTCATTGGTAACTGGAGTTTAACGAGTTGTTGGAGCATTTTAACTAGATGAGTAAAAGAATATGTATCATGGGTTACATTGATGACCATTTGTTGAAGATTAGGAGATGATAGAGTAATACTAATCTAGACAGCTCCCATTTTGTCTGCATTTAGCCATGTTCTGGACTTTGCAGGAACATCTGATTCCAGCTTCTTGGGATTAGCAGTTATTTTTGCGAAGTTATTAGATTATAGTTCAGGTGAATACAAATTAATTTTTGTATGTGGTGGATGCGTCACTGTCAGCTGTGTAGAAATGCCAGGAGTCACAGCACAGTTCATTGATGGATTGAGATAAATTTAATTTGTGGTAAAAATGGCTTTTTCCAGAGATCACTAGGAAAAGATACACAAAGTGTATCCCCCACAGTGTCCTGAAATCCGGCAGTGTTACAGAGGGTTTATAGTTCGAGTTTAGCCATGGGCACCCTTTGTTATTACTGTGGATGGGTGTTTATACCCATACAGTACCAATTGTATTGGAAACATAGAAAATACCACTTAGGGCACAGTGGCTATACCTCATAATGTTAACTCAGCCTTTCAGTGACTCCTGGGTGTCACGCACAGCAGTTATTTTTACTTTTTAGAATGCATTTAAGACAGGTAAGTATAATGACCCCAGGCCAGAGTCAGATTTCTGTAGTTGCTATTGTTTATATTCTCCTTTGTTTATTAATAGTCATGTAGGCTGGTCATGTGATGTCACTATTTTGAGATATATATGGAGGAATTTTTAGTCAGTAAAAGGTAACATCAAGACAGTTATAGATATGTTGTTGTAAATATTTTTATTGTTATTGACATGTAATTCAGATGTGATAGGTGTTGGTTGATAGAAGGTTAACTGGTCTTTCCTGACAAACTTGTAATGTTCAGTTAAATTCTATTTTCCCCACTTTAAACAATATTTCAAGTTACAAAAAGGGCTTTCTTGTTTACACATATGACACTGTCCAGAAACATTTTGTCTCCACAGTTTGTGGAAAGAGGAATCCTCTGGTTCAGGGAGTGTGACGGCTCTCCAACAGTAGGAGACCTGTTCCAAATGCCTTGTAACATTGAGAACCCACACACTGCTAGCATATTGTCTAGTACAGTGTAAATAAGGGTAGAAAGTACAGTGGTGGTGTGTCCAGTATGTGATATGGTCTCTGATGTCCTGTCACCTCTGACTGTCTTGATCTTGATCTTCTCTTCAGGCAGAGGATGATCGTGAGGGTGAGGGTGAGGAGGACGCCAGGATTGTGGATGCAGAGGCAGACGAGGGAGACGCAGACGCCACAGACACCAGGAGGAGACAAAAACAGGAGGAGGAGGTACAGAGGAAACAGGACACAGGGGACTGTTGGATTAGAGGGCTTGTAGTTTTTCCCCAACTGAAAACCTTTAGAAATAAATAGTAAGTAAATGCCAACATTATGACTCAAAGAATGATTCAAGAATCCGCAAGTGGACAACTGCCATTGATGATGTACAGTACGTTATGATGCCGAAAAGGAAGTCTTTAAAGCTGAGATAATACAGGAACCCGGAAGCTGTGTTGCGCTTTTATCTCCCCTGTGTGTTAGTCCTCGGATGGAAAACTGTCCTGTCCAAGGTGTAATCACACTGTATATCCTTGGCATCTGAGACTGGCTCTGGGTTGCTGTGTCTTACACCAGGAGGAAGCCGACTTTCTGCTAGTGTTTGGCTATTATTAAAGTTCCTGCTTCTCTCTGAGGGGAAAGAAAAGTTTTGTGTATTTGCTCCCTGGGCTGCAGGTGCCACATGCATTCTGTGTTAGACCTTCACTTGGCGGCCTCTCTGCTCAGCCCGCGTGTGTTGTTTTGAAGGTTGATTATGACAGTGAGGAAGAGGGAGACAATGACGAAGCCAATGAGCTGCAAGAGGAGGAGGAAGGACCTGAGGGCCGGCAGGAGAACGAGGAGGAAATGGAAACGGGTCAGGTGCCTCCTCAAAGCACTGCTGCTCTTCCTGCTGCGAAGAGGAAGGCAGTGAAGCCCTTTGCAGACACAGAGCTGGATGAGGTCCGGATCAACACCGTTCTGGGAACCAGCTCCTCCATTGAGAGCTATAGATATGACACCGAGCAGGGACTGTGGTGCGAGGTCAGTACAGTGTGCTTGTTTTGGCCTTATAGTCTGTCACTTGGTGCATGTGTTAGTGCATTTAAGTAGGGTAAAATGAATTATAGGAGTGATTTTGCTTTTTTTAATTAAAATCGCTGGATTGTACTCTTGATGTCTTTCACAGTGACACCTGGAGTTTGTTGGCAATCTTTACCAATGCATATTATCAGAACTTTGAAGTTCCTCCTGTTTCTTACTTATTTACTTATATTCTGTTGCTATTAGTTACTGATCTGTGTGAAGAGCCTCACATTGGTCATTAGGGACAAAATGTGCCCCTCACCAACAGGATACTGTTGTTGATATTTAAAGGCTTGCCGAAAAGTGTTCGGCAATTCTTGACAAACATAATCACTTCTTAAAGGTATACTGAGAAATTAATCAGTTTTGAGTTTATGTGGATGTAACACATGTATGTAGTCTAGGATGTATGTAGTTTCTGTTCATTCTTATTTTTTTAGTATCTTTACATTTCAACATCTGGTATAGAGGCACTTTTATTAAATTAATATTAGTGACTTTTATTCAGTATGACATGGTAGTGCAGTGCTTAGCATTGCTGCATTACAGTGCTGGGGCCCTGGGTTCGATTTACAGAGTAAAATCTGTATGGAGTTTGTATGTTTTCCCCATGTTCACTTGGGTTTCCTCTGGGCCCTCTGGTTTCTTCCCACAGTCCAGAGACATACTGGTGGCTTATTTGGCTTCTGGGAAAATTGGCCCTGGTGTGAGTGTGCAGATGTTTGTGTCTGTGTGTGCTTGTGTGCCGTGCAATGGACTGGTGTGCCCTGCCAACCCTGTACTGGGTGAAGCGGTTTAGAAAATGGGTGGATGGCTGGACTTCTTTTACCTGTACTAATTTTATCAATCTGTTTTTTTATTTTCCTTCTTATCATATTTCATGCCTAGTTATTGCACAGTACCAACTCCTAGATTGAGGAGCACCATATTGGAAAAACTACAGAATCAAATGTTCTTCATCACACTGTGAAGCCCTGTTTTAATTCTGATTTCCTTATGTCTCCGTTACGCGATGCAGATGTAACTTGGATGCATTCTTGTGTTCTTTGATGTTTCAGGTTACTCTGAACCTCCCCGTTACCAAAGTGTACTTTGACCTCACCTCTCTGATAGCATCTCAGGCACAAAGTGCAGTGGTGCACGAGACCAAAGGCATCACCCGCTGCCTGCTGAACGAGTCCACCAACAGCAGGGGAGAGAAGGAGCTTGTGCTCAACACGGAGGGAATTAACCTGACCGAGGTCTGCAAGTACAGCGATGTGAGTCCAAACCTGGTCCAAACACACCGCCTTATTTCTAGGACACAGGGCTTCAAGTTCACATGGTTGTAACAGTTTAGTCAATATTGGAATGACAAAAGGACAGTTTATCAGATTTAGAATTTTAAAGAGCAGCAGCAAAAGTAATTTTTGGCCAAATTACCCCTTCACATTAGATTTCTACTTATTTACTGTAATACACAGCTGTACCTAAATAAAATGAGTGCTGCCACCTCTTCACAGTGGAGCTGTTGGAGTGCCTCTGTGCCTTTAGGTACGTTTAAGTACTGTACTTCAATCTATTTTGTGCTTGGTATGTGTTACGACCCCTCAATATCTGAATCAGCTTCTGATCCCCTGGTTCACCCGTTAACGAAACTGACCCTTTCATTATGAAAGGTTCATAACTAGGGTCAGGAGTATTTCAATAGTCAAAGGAATGGGAACATGGGATACAGCTTTCCTAAACTCTACACTCTTAGCTTGCTGCTGCTTACGTTTTAGCGTCATACATTTAGCAATTATATGACTCTTCTTGTGACAGTAAAAACATTTACGCTCCTCTTTAGGAGGTGGGGGACTAGTTTTTACTGGGTTAGACTGAGACTGGGAACTGGGAGTAGATACAGTCTCAAACTCATCTGCCAAAACAGCTGCTTGCGATAAGGAAGTTACTTTTTGTTAATTTAAATACACAACAACACGTTCAGGCAAACAGTACTTAAATTCCTATAATAGCATTTACTCACACAATGAGTTAAACTCACTCACTTTACTGGCTACACACCATTTATCAAAGAGAATTCCCTTTTCTCTGGCGAATTCAACAAATGTTTGGCCTGACACTTTACGATGATTTCGGAAGCGTTGTCTATAAGCTTCAGGAACCAGTTCATATGCATATAGGATTGCAGCCTTCACAGTATCATAGTGCAAACTTTCTTCCAGAGAAAGAATCTGATACCATTCTCCTCTTCTTTCACATTATACACATGGCTGTAGACACTGCCTCATGCTGTGCAGTTCTTTCACTGACCGGTCTTCAGATACACTCTTTCTCCTCTGTTATTTGCCTTGTCTTCATGACCGTTAGCTTCCATCGATCTGCGATTTCTATCTTGAATGACAAATCCTTCCATACCCTCTGCCGGCTAAGCTGTGCTCTCCCGCTTAGGGAATCCCAATCACAGTCATCTAGTGACACAACCCAGGCTTGAACCCATGATCATAGAACTCAGCCTGGGCTCAGGCCAGTACCTTTACTGGTTGAACCATTGGAAACCCCATGAACATTTCTAGTTAAAAGTCTGTTTTTCCATTTTGGCATACATGTTCATCGTGGACTACTTATTTGAATACCTAGATATATAATTTAACAAATTATTTATTTGACACAACCAAGCCTATGCTGTTTCTTTTTGCGGGTCAGATGCCGAACTAACAGGCTGACTTTTCTTTCTCTTTCCGAAGATCCTGGATTTGAAGAGGCTGTATTGTAACGATGTGCACGCCATGGCCAACACGTACGGTATCGAGGTGGCTCTGCGGGTCATTGAGAAGGAGATCAAAGACGTGTTTGCCGTCTATGGTGAGTATGTTTGTATTCTCAGATGTTGTAATATTTCAAGTCTCTCAAAAGTGGGTAAACAGAGCAGTTTCCTCACTACATTTTCAGTTTTACCTTGTTTCATTCAAGAGTTCGTCAGCTCAGCAACTTAACAATGACTAACAATTTGCAAGAGATTTGAGCAGCACCGTACTATTAAATCTATAAAAAGTAGGCGTCCTTTCTAATTGTGGTCGTGGGTGTCATTATGAGCGTCTGTCTTCAGAAGAGTTGTTAATCCAGCCCTTTGTGACGCCTGAAGTCATTCAGTTACTGTCTTTTACTGATGAGTTCTTCAGCTGCGTCTGGCAAGTACTGTATGTCTGTTCTTCCTTTTCTTTACCTGAGCCACTTGGTGTATGACTGTTTTCACAGTGTCGATAACTCCATCAAATTGCTTTTTTAAAACTTAGCTATAAACATCCGTTTCTGTGTTCTAAGCGTTTTAAATTAATTCCTCTGTCAGAATAGAATGAGCAAATCCTCAGATTTTTTCTGAATCTCACACCTACTAAGTCTAATGTTTTTGCATTAAATATTTTATTTTCTTAACACAAAGGTACCTGTCATGTCGCTGTTGCCATGACACTCTGACCTGGCCTTGTGTTCTCCGCAGGCATTGAGGTGGACCCTCGTCATTTGTCTCTGGTTGCTGACTACATGTGTTTCGAAGGTGTTTACAAGCCTCTCAATCGTTTTGGAATAAAGTCGAACTCTTCCCCACTGCAGCAGATGACCTTCGAGACGAGCTTCAAATTTCTTAAAGATGCGACTATGTTGGGTAAGAAAATTAAATAAATCTGGCTGATCCAATGATTCTACTGGTTTGCCAGTAGATGGAGTTATATACAAGACCCATACAAGATCTTGGACCCATCTATGTTGTTCATGGTAAGTAGGGGATGTAGGTGTCTCCTCAGTGAATTCTAAAAGAAAATCCTCAGAATTTGGTTACTTTTCAGGTTGCTGCCATGTAAAAACAGTTGTGGGTAGGTGATAGTTCAGAAAGCTGTGGGACAAGACAAACACACATACAGTTATGTGAAAAAGACTTTCAATTCAATGGTTTTACATATCACGGCATAAATAGCAATTGTCTGGTCCTCTCCAACTTCTATAACTAGACAAATATAGTCTCAGATTACACATTACAGAAAACACATAACAGATTTCACTATGTCATCATTTATTCAACAAAATGTAAGCCAAAATGCAGAAACCATGAAGGTAATTAGCAGACAGGTGCTGCTAATCAAATGCACTTGAGTAGTTGATCATCAGGAAGTGTGACCACCTCTATAAAAGCAGAACTTTAGGCAGTTTGGTGGTCTGGAGCATTCAGGTGTGTGTTAACACAGTGCCAAGGAGAAAAGAAATCAGTAGTAACATCAGAGAAGCAATTGTTGCTGCTCATCAATCTGGGAAGGGTTATAAGGGCATTTCCAAACAATTTGAAATCCATCATTCTACAGTGAGAAGGATTATTTACAAATGGAGAACATTCAAGACAGTTACCAATCTTCTCAGGAGTGGGCATCCCAGCAACTTCTTCCCATTGGTCAGACCATATAATGCTCAGAGAAATTTCCAAGAACCCAAGAGCTTCATCTAGGGATTTACAGGCCTCGGTTAACATGTTAAATGTTCAAGTTCATGACAGTTTGATCAGAAAAAGACTGAACAAGCATGGCATTCAAGGAAGGGTAGCCAGGAGAAAGCCCCTTCTCTCCAAAAAGAACATGGCTGCACAGCTTAGGTTTGCAAAGCTGCATCTGAACAAACCACAAGATTTCTGGAACAAAACTGGAGATGTTTGGTCATTATGCACAACGTCATGTTTGGCAAAAACCAAGCACTGCGTATCACCACAAACACCTCATACCAACTGTCAAGCACGATGGTGGAGGGGTGATGATTTGGGCTTGTTTTGTAGCTACAGGACCTGGGCACCTTGCAGTCATCGAGTTGAACATGAACATGGACAAAATTGGGTCATGCGACAGGACAATGAGCCCAAACACACCAGGAAATCTACAACTGAATGGCTGAAAGAGAAAAAAAAAATCAAGGTGTTGGAATGGCCAAATCAAAGTCCAGACCTCAACTCCATTGAGATGCTGTGGCAGCTGAGCTGTGCATAAACGAATGTCCTCAAACATCAATGAACTGAAGCAATGTTGTAAAGAAGAGTGGGCCAAAATTCCTCCAGAACAATGTGAGAGACTGATAAATTCATACAGAAAACGATTACTTCAAGTTTTTGCTGCTAAAGGTGGTTCTACAAGCTACTGAACCATGAGGTGTACATAATTTTTCACACATGGCTTCTGCATGTTGGGTTATTTTTTGTTAAATAATGACATAGTGGAATCTGTAGTGTTGTTTGTCACCCAAGATTAGAATTACCTAATTTTAGGACCTGGTAATGACCAGATGATTTTTTATGTCCTGATATCTAAACCATAGAATTGAAAGAGAGTGTACTTTCTTTTTCACATGACTATATATTAAGATGCCCCTCAAAGATCTTCAGCCTTCAGTGTCGTTGATTTTTTTTGGTCTGTGCCTTTCTGCAGCATTCATGGATTAATTAAAAATATGTCCTTTGAAAATGTGCACATCATTTTATTCAGTAATATAGGACATCATTGGAAGAGAGTGAATACTTTTGCAAGGCACTGTATGTGAGTTTCAACATATAATCGATTGTTTTAATCCTCAGATGTTAATCGAATTCAGATGTTATATATTTATTTAATTTGCACAGTCAACTATGTTTTAAGTGTGGTTATATTAAGAACTGGTGTACAAGTTTTCATCATTATATTATTTTATTAAGAAAATGAATACCTTTTGAGACACTTGCTTAGGAAAAATGCTGTTTTGTCTGTGGTTCTTTTGAATTTTTGCTTGTTGCTGATAATTTGTTTTTTTAGACATGCCACATCACTTCCTAATTACTTCTAAGCTCTCAGTATGAAGCTTTCAGTACTGTGAAAAAGAACTTCAAACATCTAGCCTTGGTTCTTAAAAACAGATTTCCTGTATTTTAAATCAATTTGCTTCACATCCTTTCAGAAGACACATAGTACCTAAGACGTAGTTGGTGTTGGTTGCTGTACAGATAAGTGTGTCCATGTACAGTACATTTAGGATCTTTGTCTATGCTTATGTTGCTGCTACTTTAAAAAAGACAGACTTTATTTAAGTGTGATGCAAACACGTATGCCTCAGTGTAATGCTGTATTTTACTGATAAAAGCCTTTGTTTCTAGGGATATCACTCAGCTCTTGTGATGTAAATTACAGCTCTTCAGCTCTCCTCCTTGAGGACCATAATTCATTAGGGTTTCCAGATCCTAAGTGATTACCTGCTTTAAACCAGGGAGAAGGGTTAAATTGGTTCATTTCAATTAATCATCAGTTCAGAGACATAATTATAAGCTCAGGTGGAATTGAAACCAAAAGGCTCTGTAGTCTTGAGAACAGTACGTGCTGTAAATGAAGAATTTAACTGCAAAATAGTAGAGGAGCAACTCATTGTTGGATGTTGTTTTTTTTTTTAAATAGCCATCATTTCTATACAGCACCTTTTCAGTTAGAGTCTGTACACCCATCCTAGAACATAGGCACATTAGTATAAAATGTAGTAAAACTTCTATACAGTACTAATGCAATTACATTCACGTAACTGTCAAATTTCACACTGATTCTGATGTTTCTTTCATCTCTTGTGTCAGGTGCCTATGATGAGCTGAAGTCACCATCAGCATGTCTAGTGGTTGGTAAGGTAGTTAAAGGAGGAACAGGACTCTTTGACCTGAAGCAGCCACTCCAGTAGGTCTTTGTGGAAGAAACAGTGCTCTGTGGAGGGAGAGGGAAGCCTTTATAATTTGAACACGCAGACTGGTGTTGGCTGTGGGGGAAAGGAGCGCTGAGCTGAGCTGGAAGTCTCCAAATGCTCCCCAGGTCGCACGGCAGATGGCGAAACGAAACTTGATTTCAGCACAAGACTGAAGGAATTTGTTCCATCAGGATCCGACTGTTTCTCACTTTGCTGTTCTCCAGAGCTGCCTGACCCAGAAGGCCCAAAAAAGCTATTGTGTTTAATTTTTTTTTCTGTGTTTAAGTAAACTTAAAGTCAAAAAAGAAAAAGAAGGAATAACACATTTCTCTTTATTTTTGTTTGGTAATCTTATTGCAGTTGTTAAGCAAGGGGAAATCCAAAATAATATGAAAATATTTGCCAGGTGATATAGGGTTCACATCCATTTGATGAGACACAAGATATCTTGCTTGTGTTGTTCAATGTATTTAGTTGTAATGAGATTTTTTAAGTTGCACGGACATTTTTGCTGTGTTTCCCTTTTGTTATACTTCTCTTTTCTCATGTTTCTGTTCTGGTACAGTATATGACATACTGTGTCTAAAACAGTATTTACTGGTAGTTGTAATTTACCATTCACATCACAGACTGCAAACTTCCTCACACGTAGACTTTTCAATATTAGAGCTCTCCTTGTCTCACTGTTTCTAATTTCAGATTAAAATATTTTTGTTTTGAATCTCAAGAAGTGTCCTCACCTCAGTGCTGTTAACCCTTATACTCCTTTTTGCTTTATGAGTGCTCATAGTGAACCTTCTTCTTACTAAATAGCCAGCAGCCATATCACCCTGCAACTCACAACTTGCAGCCCACTGAAGCTCAGCAGGTCAGTACCTGGGTGGGAGACCTCCTGGGAAAAACTACGGTTGCTGCTGGAAGAGGTGTTAGTGGGGCCAACAGGGGGCACTCACCATGTGGTCTATGTGGGTCCTAATGCCCCAGTATAGTGACAGGGACGCTATACTGTCCTTAGGATGAGATGTAAAACCAAGGTCCTGACTGTCTGTGGTCATTAAAAAGAAAAGAGTAGGGGTGTAACTCTGGCTGAATTTCTCAGTGGCCCTTACCAATCACAGCCTCCTAATAATCCCCATCTATGAATTGGCTTTATCGCTCTGTTCTCATCACCACTGATAGCTGATGAGCACACTATGGCTGCTGTCGCATCATCTAGGTGGGGCTGCAAATTGGTGGTGGTAGAGGAGAGTCCCCATTACCTGTAAAGCTCTATGAGAGTGTCCAGAAAAGCGCTCTATAAGGTAAAGAATTATTATGGTTGTTGTTATCATCATTAAATATTTGACTTCACATTTATGCTGTTTTCTGTTTGAACATCCAAAGAACGTAATGGAAAATTCTGAATTTTCAAATAAATGTGAGATCTATAACAGAAAGATTTTAAATTTTGTTGCTTGCATGTGAGGCATAAGATAAGATAAAATTTTCATTGTCCCCTTAGGGATTTTTTTATGGATCCCCGGCACTCCTGTACATTTAAATAAAATGCAAAAAAAAGGAAGAAAAAAACATTGCACGTTATACTGTTACAAAAAATAATAAAAACATTGCACATCATTCTATTGCACATGTGAAGTATAACACATAACAACATGTGACATATATAACATCACAAAACATATTGCACTCAAGTGGGTTGTAAGAGTCAGAATTGTGTTTATCCTTGACATTTGCATTGACAGCTTTAATGGATAGTGGAACAAAGGAATGTTTGTATCTGTTTGACTTTCATTTGAGAACCCTTTGCCAGAAGGAAGAAGTTGATATTCATAGTTGACGATTTGGGAAGGATCTGATATAATTTTTACTGTCTGATTATGGATTTTTTAAAGATAGTTTGCAGGGAGGGGTGCCATTTTACTCCCATGACCTTCAAATCTATCTGGATGAGGTGGGTAATTTGCGATTTAAAATGAACTGATACTGTAGATTACCAAACCATACTGAAATACCATATCTGATAATGCTCTCGATTATAGCACGGTAAAAGAGTAGCATGACTTCCCGTCGAACCCGCAACTTCGCAGGAAATATAAGCACTGCTGAACCCTGAACATGCTGAGCAAACACTCTCAACATGAGTAGACCAGCACAGGTTACTGTCTTATGTATACACCTAAGTACTTGTATGAATCAACCTGAGTGATGAGTTCGCTGTGGATTACTACCTGTGAGTGATCACTAACTGCTCTGGGATTGAAAACCATTTCTTTTGGTTTTTTTTAGCGTTCAAAATTAGGCTATTGCTGTCACACCATTACACAAACCTTTGGATTTCTGACATGTACACAGATGAGCTGCTACCTCTGTGCATTAAGCCGAGAACAGCTGTATAATCTGGGAATTTGAAAATGAAGTTGCTTTGACTACTGCTTGTACAATCATTTGTATAAAATGTGAACAGAACTGGAGAGCTCACACAGCCCTAAGGCTAATGGATCGTGACTCGGAAAGGGTTTTGTTGACCCTAACATACTGTGCGCGATAAGGAGTACACCTGACCTGTGTCCATCCCAGGGGTTACATTCCTCTAAAGCTGCTTTTTCGGCAAGTCTGCATTGGAGAAAAATTTAACTTTTGTAATACGTAGTGACACATAAATGCAGCCATGTGCATTAATGACTGTGTACTTTACATGTATTTTTTTACACACACGTGAATGTCCCTGCCTTTACTGAAATGTTTATGAAATGGCAATTAATACAGTAGAGTCTTGACATCTGTGAATTTAACATTTGCAAGTTCACGATTCTGACTGGCTGAAGGGGTTTTGGTTGAAAGAGGAGCAAAGTGAGATGAAACCGGTCAAAGGTTGTTAGCTTTCAAATTCGCTGCGCAGAAGCCTAGGATGTGAGATAAAACCTATCTAGGGAGTGAGACTCTCCCTGTCCCCTAAACGAACACTACCCAGCATCCGCATCTCGACATGGTCCGGTTTTGTACTGTAACAAAGACTCCTTGTGACAACGTGGCAAATGACAGACTGGAGATGACTTTACAGGCTCACTGACGGTTTTATTGCCTATTTAATTACAGTGGGGTGTGCTAATCAGACAGGCAAAGAGAGGAAGCACAGGCCTTAGCAGAGGAGGGATTCATGTTGTTTATTTTAGCTCTCTCTTGCCTCTCTTGGTCTGTTCCTGTTTCTCCCTCCCTGTCTTCCTTCCACTTTTTGCATCTGTATTCTGTGTTCTGTGGATGAAGAGCGTTTATCCTTTATTGCCATTCTAATAATTTATCATGAGATTAATTTACCAGAATCAGTCATCAAAAACAGGTTTTGGTAATCTGTGTTCATACCCATTTGTTTTAGACTTTCTGTAAAAGGCCTTGAGTAGTGCAACTGAGATGTAAACTGCAAATGTTATTAGATTTTACAGCACCCTGGCTCCTAATACAGTTATACACAGTCTCAGTTAGTTATACACTCAGTCCTCCAATATGAGCCAAAGTACTTGTCTCTAACTTGTTCCCATGAAGGATTCTTTATTTAATTGTTGAGCTTAAATATACATTTTTACAACTTGATGACAGTGTGGCTGCAATCCATTTAGATGTGTAGTAGTTTGATTTAAATTATGTGGCATATCAGTTTGGTTACTAGTACAAACATCAATAAAGAACAATCACAACTTTACTGAGCTTTCTGCAGTAACAGCACATGAAAGACTGAGAGAGCAGGCTATGTGGTGGTGCAGGAGTGATGTAACAATAAGATCACTTTATTGGCCATATACGATTTCTTGTATTAGGAATTTGTCTTTTCACATATCCTCAATTTGCTCTCACACAGAGACAGGGAGAGAAGCTTGGGGTCAGAGTGCAGGGTCACTATACAGCACCCCTGGAGCAGTTGGGGTTAAGGGCCTTGTTCAGGGGCCCAACAGAGTAGGATTCCTGTACCAGCCGCAGGATTCGAACTGGCAGTCTTCCAGCCACAGGCGCAGATCCTTAGCCACAGAGCCACTGCACCACCCCAAATGTAGATGTAGATATTAATCAAAGATTTTAGAGTCCATGTTACCATGGATAGCACTTTTGATGGACTGTGTATGACCACATGTCACGTTTATCAGATATTTATTCCTGTTGATGTTTTCACATATAATTATCTTATTAATTGGAGAAGGTGGAGAAATGGAGAAGATTTTGCTGTTCATTGTATACAGATGTTGTCAACATGTAGTGCATTGAGTTGAACATTTGATTTACTTAATCTTTGAACAGCAATGTTTTTTCCCACCCTAGTTAACAGAGACAGTGGAGCAAATTAATTAAAGTAATATTTTCAGCATTATCAGAGACAGTAAATGCTTGAAACGTCAAGACATGTTTGGGCATATCAACACAAATATTCACTGCAGCAAGACTTATAGGAAGCCTTCTATATCAGCTGCAATGAGCATCATGTGGTCAATCAAGACTGCTTTTATGTTAAATTTTCTCCTCCCTTGGGTTACTGGCTTTCAGTTTAAGTAACAATCCTTAAAGAAAAAGAACACATTTAATTTTATAAATAGAACTAAAACTTGAAGACAAACCTTAGACCTGCTTTCTGCACAACAGTTTTAAAATATGAGGTAGTTTAGGATCAATTTGGGATCAAGTTCCCAAACTGTGCAATCACCCTGTTTGCCTTTCTTGGAGGAAACCGGGACACAACAAAGTCCAAATTATTGTAGCTCTTGCTGTAAGATAGCCAGTATATGAACTGGGACACAAAAGACAAATATTGACTCAAGGTATTGTTGCTTTTAATAATAATTGACACATTTCTTATTGGGCTATGTTAACTTAAGTGGTATTTAGCAGATAACAGAAGTTAAGTAACACTATTGTATATTATCATACTGTCCTGTCCACTGGTCATAACATAGCTGAATCTGTGAACAGTTCCATGGTGGAGAAGGAACTATTTATTAGATAAACTAACAGCACTCAAACTAATATTTATAAGTCTTATTTAGTCGGACTAAGTACCAGAACCCAAATCATCACATTTAACCTTTATGCATTGCATTCCTAGCACATCTCTACTGCTCTTAAAAATAGACATGCATCTTATAAGGGGAAATAAGATTGCACTCACAAAATAAAAAAAATCCTTCATCAGCGAGCCTGTCCTGTTAACTGATGCTAAAATAAGACAAGCATTGGGCCTTGTCAAGAAATGTGTCCAAATATAGATGCAACCAACTTTGTTTCAGAAGTGCAGCTCATTTCCCTAAATTTAGCCCAAGTCCCTTAAGTATCTGATAGGTTAAAGTTTGTCAAGGAGGAATCTGGTGGTGAAGATGTCCATGCTGCTGAAAAACTCTCAGGCGTCTTTATTCATCTGTCTCTCCTGCTATCTTTTTAACTTTTAATCTCCACTTTTAAAGTATAACACATGATCACACAAACTGCTGAATGGAAATTCCAGCTTCACAATCTATTGAGTTATCTGATCTCCAAGGGCTGCTGACCAGATAAACTCAGCTGTGTAATCATTGCGAAAGATTACCCCCCACTGGATAACAGTTCTGAGCATACAGCAGGCAGAGTAGCTCTCCAGGATGAGTCACAATAAATACAGTTCCCACTTTTTGTTGGTTTTATTTTTAGGAATAAATAATGGAAATGGAATGGAAAATGAGACAATCTCCTGAATAATCAAGCATTCGCTGAGGTTTCTGTACAACTGAAAAAGACTTGTCTTCTTTCCTTACTTTAATTACCTTCATAGAACCTGACTACTTTTATTATTAATTATTATTATACTTAAAACAAATGGGTAGTGCGGTAGCTCTGTGGCTAAGGCTCTGTGCCTGTGGCTGGA